CTCTGGTCAGATTTTTAAAAATAACAATAAATAAAATTAAATATTTTTTTGTAAAAAAGAAAATAGGGAAAATACATATTTAATATATCCTTACATATCGTTGCCTGTAAGTACAAGGAAGAAACTAACAATAGTGATTACCTAGTGTAAAGGATAAAGGAAACCAGGCAGGTGAGACAGGGGTGAGAGAGAAACCCTTCACTAAACACCTTTTAATACATTTTTAAATTTTTGAACAATGTAATTTAGTAAAAATAAATTAATTTAAAAGATTTTAAGTGTACTGTCACAAGTGTCTACATTTCAGTATTGACTCATTATTTATAGAGGTTATACTTCGGACTGCAACCAACCATCTGTATTAACAAGAATCTGAGGATTTAGCAGCCACAGAACAAAGTTGCATTAGTTACCCTGGCCCCCGCAGAGACCAAACACAGTGAGTGAGTTGGCCTCATTAAGGAAATGCCTTAATACCTTGGTCAGCTTGTCCTAAGCGACTTCTATTGTTCCTTGCAGAAGCCATTAAATATTATCCTTCTACTATACTATATTAGAAAATGCACTGGAATCTTGCAACAAAGTCTATACATAAGCAATTTTTCCAAATGTCTGTATAAGCCCAGCTTCATTCAATACTGAATCAAGTGTGTTGTAAGTTTAAAAATAAAGTCATGCACACAATGAAAACAGGAAGGGTGTCTGTACAACCATCTGCATGAGTCAAATAGCCAAAAACTTAAAAGTAAATGCTTGTTTGGTCACCATACTTTGATTTTTAGATGTGAATATTATTGTGTGAATATTCTTATGCTAAATCAACTACATTTTCAAGACAATTCAGATTAATATAAATGCACCATAAGTACATAGAGGTCAGGTTGGACACATATTCACATAAGCCAGTTTTGTTTTGTTTTGTTTTTTCACTCATCATCAACGTGGCCTTACTATATTAGGAACCTAGGACAATTGGCATTTTAAAAACTAACAGCTTAAGCATTCTTGTTAACTTAGCAATTTAAATGTCATATCACTGTAATCCTGGATGCTGGCAATGAGAAAACAATCTCTAAAAATGGCACATTTTCTGAAGATATGAGAAGATGTTTTGGCACTGACAGCGGAAGTTAAACTTATTTACTCATTCTAGCATGAAGCCACACTAACTGTAAGATGTCTCTAGCAAAGAATGAGACCGCTGTTTCTGTTGCGATGATGTTTGGGTTTCCAGTCATAGAAAAACGAATTTCAAATGAACTCTAAGACAGAGCACTCTGTGCAAACCGCTGCCCGGCAGCAAACCGTGCATGTAGGTTGGTTCTGTTCATTTACTTCTTCAAACCCTGATCGTGTTTCTTTTGAGATGTACAAAACTGATTCAGGGAATTAAAGGTCCACCTTTGTTAGCCTACTCAGTCTAACTAGAGCTTGAAAAATAAGCTTTAGATAAGATACACAGAAAAATTTGCAGCTTGAGTAGAAAAACAACTCTTTATTAATGGGGGTAATTCTCACTGCTCCCTAATCATTACTTATTGTTTGTTTTCAAGCTATAATTGAGGCTCTGAGCAGATGAACACTGAAATGAGTGTTCACAATTATGACATGTATTTTCTAGACTATTAATTTAATATCACATACATGTTTGGTGAATACTAACATATCTAAAAATATATAGCCTTACTCAAATGAACTTAAAAATTAATCTAAACAATGAACATTTAAAAATAATAGTTATGGGACCAGCAGATGGTGTAACGGTTATATCACTAAACTCCCACATAGTCGACCATGGTTCGAGTCCCAGACCCAACGGCTTAAAACTCATGTGCCAGAGGCACATGTGCATGCATGCCCAAAGTCCCGAGAGGAGAATGGAGTTAAAGACACTGTGGTATTTCTGGACAGAGAGGTATGGCCATCCCCCTGGATGCAATCTTTCACTTTCTGTCTCTCTGACGAGCACCTGTGCCCTATAGCAAAAATCTGTCTAAAAAAAATAATAGTATTTATGGCATGAAAGACTAATGTAATACTGCACAACGTGACAGGAGGCCACTTACATGTCTTGTGTTTATACTTGACTACCCATATACAATGCATACACAGCATGGGTCTCGGCCTTACCAGATTTGTGTAACATTACATTAAATATGTTGGTGAAACACAGACAAATTGCAGATATGACTTAAGTTCTGACTATGGTTTTATGTAGCAGTTTCTCTGGGAATAGACTCATTAAGTGACTACATGACAGTCCAGGGGCCACTATCTCAGAACCGCTGCTCAGAAGTGAACTCAGGGAAGGCTGAGCTGTCCCTGGGTCTGCCATAGCAGATCTGGCCCCGCCAACAATCCACCTCACAGTAGGAGAGTTCCTAAATATGACTTAGAGGTGAAGTGGAATTAACCATAGAAAGAGCACCTAAGCACGAGTTGCTGAACTCGTAGCGCCAAACAGGGCAAAGACAAAAGGCATACAATTCCTTCAGTAAAATGTCCAGTTCCCTTTAAGATGAACTCTATTCTACCCTCTATTTGAGTTTGTGCAGCCTCTGAAAGCTTTGAAATTGTGCCAGCCTTACAAAAGGCCCCAATTAGAGCTCATTTTGTAACATGCAACTCTGCACATGACAAAAAAAATCAAAAGTAATTAAATAAATTGTTCCAGCTGAGGGTGTAGTTAGCCAACTGCATCAGCAATTCATTTATAGATCCAGAAAGGCAGCTTGCTTGCCCTCTGACCATTCACACTATAATATTTATCCCTAACTAGAGCACCATAGTATATAAAAAAGAAAGAAAGAGAGAGAAAGGAAGGAAGGAAGGAAGGAAGGAAGGAAGGAAGGAAGGAAGGAAGGAAGGAAGGAAGGAAGGAAGGAAGGAAGGAAGGAAGGAAGGAAGGAAGGAAGGAAGGAAGGAAGGAAGGAAGGAAGGAAGGGAGGGAGGGAGGGAGGGAAAAAAAAGAAAGAAAGAGAAAAGAAAAGAAAAATCCCTTTCTTGTTTCTGATGCCATGTCTCCTGAGGTTCCCCAGGGAATTGTCAATCTCTCATCATAATAGAGAAGCTCCTCTCTTTATTTTGTTCTCTCTGTAGATTGTCCAGGGCACACAGCCCCAAGCCAACACACTTAACTCAGTGGCAAATGCTATCTGAGGCCACCAGTCCTTCTGCCAGTCCTGTTGAATACCTAACATTCACAACTCTGTCTTTGTGCAAAATACTGGATGCAAGGATTTAGTTTGCTTTAAGTAAGAGCAGAAGAAACTAATTCTCTCCCATGTTAAAGAAGAAATGCATGTGGATTGTACTTTAGAACAACAACAAGATCCATCAAAAACTAAATAGCCACTGTCCTTTTTAAAAGAAGAGGGAGGATAATTTTTACCCTATAAAAAATTATTTTCTCCTAGGAAAAAATGCCATCCATTTAAATAGCAGATCCAAACATTCTAAAGATAGTTGCCATCTTAGAAGTGCTCTATAGTGACTTTAAAGTATCAAAAAAAAGAAAGAAAAAGTTGAGTGATCATTTACGTAATCCTGTAGAGTGTATTTAAACTATGATGGAGGCAGATCCTAAGTGAGAAATAGCAGTACTAATAGGAAAGGTTGATTCTAGCATTGGCTCACTGCTCTGGTACAGCAGGGTCCAGAACGTATAACTTTAAATCTTTACTATCATCACCGTAAAACCTAACACTTCATCTTCTCTCAGAGGCTGGTCAGAGACAGTAAGATATCAATCTTTTGAGCTTGGATTTGGATCATACATTTGAGAAAGAGTAGTGTGTGTTCCTTGGTTCCACCTGATAAAAGGACTTACCTTTAGGTCCCCTCAAACCAAGAGCACCAGGGGGGCCTTTAATGCCTGGGAGGCCACGAATTCCCATTTGTCCTGGGAAGCCATTCTCTCCAGGGGGTCCTGGGGGTCCAGGAGGGCCAGGCCTGCCAGGGAGGCCTGAAGCACCAGAGTCTGGACGCTTGAGACTAGCAGCCATTTCAGCAAAATGCTCTAAAAGATAATAAGCAAAAGAACCCAGTAAAGGCAGAAACTTAAAAGGGATTCAATGAAAATCAGCAACCCAAATGCCCTTTTTCTGAAAGTATCATGAGAACTTCAAAATTAGTAGTAAAAGATAAATACAGTTGGATAATTTTTCATAGTCTTCATACCAGGAAGCTTCACTAGTATTGCACTTTCAGATGTCCCTAGGTATATTTGGTTGTCAGGTTTTGAGATACAGGCAGGGAAGTGGGGGTTACAGAGGGAAGATCAACTGAAAACAAAAAAAAATTAGAACTTCCAGGCTTTGGACTGAATGATGTTGTTTTGGAAGAATGAATGTCACCTGAATGTTGGCTGGGTATCTAAACACCCAGGATGGAAAGAAAAATAAGTTCCTTTATTTCTTTTTTAATTAGCTATCAGGTGCATGTGCTCACCAGAGAAAGAAAGTGAGAATGTGCTCCCAGTGGAGCTGCTTATGCCACAATCCCTTCTCTAGTCCCTCTTGGGATGTGGAGCAGACACACATGCACCTGGCATGTTTTCAGACTGGTAGATCTGAGACCCAAACTGTGGTCAGTCATGTGGAATCCAGCTGCCTTAACCACCACTCCCCCTAGCTGCTCAAAAAATAAGTTTCTTAACACAGGTGGAAGTGAATATTCAGAAGCTTTCTAAAAGCTAAGAACATTTCCCAGAATTAATATTCAGACAGCATTTGAGACCTAATCTCACATTTTTAGTTTGAAGATATTATGTAACCTGAACTATTATGAGGATTCACACTTGTTATAAATTCTCTCTTGAATGTTGTTTTCATGCTTGGAATAGAAAATAAAACATTAAAAATAACCTGTTTCTTGGGAATGGTCACAGTCTGTCTTAAAAATTAATAGCTCTGGACCTTTTTCAGGAACCATAAAATAAATTCAGAATCACCCTCTAAAGCCATGGAATATAAAAAATGTCCTCATTAAAGTACCCTAAGGAGGGGCCAACAGGTGGTGCGGTGGTTAAGGTGCTGGACTCCCACATGACCGTCTACAGTTCGAGTCCCAGACCTAGCAGCTTGCTTTTACACTTTTCCTTTCTCTCTCGCTGGTCAAATTTTTAAAAGTAATAATAATAATGATAAATAAAATAAAATAAAAAGATTCTAAGCATTTCTTAGAATGTATTCAAGTGAGGGGACCAGCAGTTAGCATAATGACTATGTCACTGGACTTCCATGTGGTCAACCGCAGTTTGAGTCTCAGACCCGGTGACTTAAAACTCACGCTGGGAGCATGTGTGTGCGTGCCCAAGATCCTGAGAGGAGAATGGAGGAGAGGGGATTGCGGTGTGGCCATCCCCCCCTGGGGGGTGATTTCTTGCTTTCTGTCTCTCTGTCTCTCTCTGTCTGTCTGGCAAGTGCACTCGCCCTATGGCAAGAACTTCTCAAAAAAAAAAAAGAAAAAGAATATATTCAAGTGAAAATTTTTAAACCTTTAACTTATGAAGAAAGATAAGAATTGGAAGCAAATTTCTAGCCAACATATTTTTAAAATTGTTTATATTATAATTTTCCCTTTTTAGGTAAGAGCATAAAAATCATAATTTTCTAGATATTTAAATGTTTAAAACTGAAATGGACTTTCAAGATAAAATGTCTGCAATGAGGAAACCTATACTGATTTTCAAATATAAAAGTGGTCGTTTTATTCCTGTTTGATTCTGAACAAACCACGGCCCCCTTTGTCCAGTCTTCCTGAGGATATTGGGTGCCCATTTAAGTTCCTGCCATGCTCTACAGGCTGGTCCAGGATCCGAACCATGATCACCAAATAGCCTCCAGTATTGCAGAGCACTATCTTTCCACTATGCCACAGCAGCTGGGCCAGAGTTACCAGCATGTTACAGAGGTGGTACGTGAGCAAAGGAAACAGCCTTGGGCTCCTTGAGGGCATGGAGTCTACCATTTACTTCTCACATCACTGAGAGGGAACTGAGGTCAGCACACAGTAAGTGGTAGGATCTTAAGAAAGAGAAACACTTGAGAATTTGTGTTTAAAAGGAAAAAAAGTGTGTGTGCACACACATGTATGTGCTTGTGCACACTTTCTTATAAATTAGCCCAGTTGGAAAAAAAAAAAAAAGCAGTCCAACAGAGAAAGGCAATATTTTACTTTGAATCTGTAAGCTATTGAGGATAACAACAAATGGATAAAATAGAATCGGTATTAATAGCAGTTAAAATTTCCCACCATTAAAGCATACACAAAGTTACCGTTATTCCCCCTTGCATACCTACAGGAATAAAATCTTAGGAAGTGAGAGTTTATCGTAGAATGAGGCGAATCACTGTGATTTATTTACCTTGCATGACTCTCATGCACACCTGCTTAATGTGCTGATCTGTTGGTGCTCTACCCTGGGAGAGAAAGAAAAAGTCCATTTATACCCAGAACCATAACAAGAACATTGTGAAACTGAAAACTGGCAGAATCTACAAGGACTCAGGCAGCTGGATTTACAGGAGAACTTGCTGCTGAGGAACTGATGCCTAGTCCGGTCCCACTGCAGTGGGATGGAGTCCCCAGAGGAAAATCATGGGACAGCCCACTACTCACTGGAGGACCCTGAATTCCAGGCAGGCCTGTGGCACCCTGTTCTCCCTGCACGCCTCGGGGTCCAGGTGGTCCTCTTGGTCCTTCCTCTCCAGGAAGCCCCCGGCTTCCTTCAGGCCCTCTCAAGCCAGGCTCCCCAGGGTTACCCGCCTGGAACAAAATGCAACACTGTCAAACCAGGGCTAAACAGAAGTGCTGTGTCTGCTTAATAGTAATATAAACACATGAAATTTGGGATCTCCTATAAGCTTGCTATCTCCTGAGCAGTATTTGTTCAGGAGACACAAATCCTTCACCTTTACCAGAAGAGAAAGACACAGAATGTCACACAACTCACCAGTCTCTTAAAATTTCAGCTCAAATAAACTTTAAAAAAAATCTTTTTGTGAGGGCAGATGGTGGTGTAGTGGTTAAGCACTGGATTCCCACATGGCCAACCATGGTTTAAGTTCCAGACCTGGTGCCTTAAAAATCACATCAGGCGCATGTGCATGTGTGCCCAAAATCCCAAAAGAAGAATGGAGAAGGGATTATGGTATGCCATCCTCCCTGGAGGGTGATTTCTCACTTTCTTTCTGTCTCTCTTTCTCTCCCTCTCCAGCAAGCACACAGGCCCTATGGCAAAAAAAAAAAAAAAAATCTGAAAAATAAATAAATGAACATTTTTGGTATAGTTATTATTCCAAAATATTCATTGGAATAATATATCTTTTCAAAACTACATTCTTCATACTTTAAATGACTTCCTAAGAACAAGTTAGTTATTAATAAGGCTTATTAATATTTTCTGGCCACAAAAAGGCCATTCGATTGCTGCAAGATACGTTACTTTACATATCACCAAAGCAGTAAGCATAAAATAAAGATATTCCAAAAAACATAAGTGATTTAAACTTCATAACATTTTTATAGAGAATTCAAAAATACCATGTATATTCAGGAATTATAAAAAAACACAAACTAAATTGATGCATTTACAATGCCACATTTAAAATGCTGCATTAAAAATACTAGATCAAAAAGAGTAAGTTCATAATTTACTGAAGTAGTAAGAAAGTTAAAAATCTAAATAGTAAAGAAGTTAAAACCCACTCATTCCTGAGCACAAAAGAATATATGTAGATTTTTCTTTTCTGAAAGCAAACTACTAAAAGCATTTAAAGGAATGCTCATCCACAAAAACTGCTTTAAAAAGAGGCTAAATTAATTCACTCTTTGTTAGACTAAAAGTTTGTCAGATTCCTCTGGTGGACTTTGTATCAGAGGATACATACTGCACCGTTGCTGAGAATAAGAATGAGAAGATAAGGACAGGACGCAACAAGAGATAGCTAACTTCAAGACATGAATGTCCGTAAAGCTGCTTACTCCTGCTTCTTCTTTCTCATATGCTACATTTACCTAGGCAGAGCTAACTCTGTCAAACACTCATGTTTTAAACTGAAGAGAAGAAGGTGGTAAGGCAGCGCTTTCACTAGACACATCCAAATAAAGCTCAGCAAGTGTGCTTTTTCCAATCTCCCTTTATGCAAAAAACTGATATTCATCTCAGTCAAGCTGCCAAAATTGCTTCTAGGAAGAAATTATGGCTTGAAAGAATTCCTTGAAAGACGGTATCAACAGGTAGGACTCCAGATATACTATGGAAGGCTGAAAAATTGTCAGGTGTTTAGGGTGCTAAACTACAAAAACTTCTTAAACAACCCAGATGAGAAGCCAAAAGAAATCAGAAATGCACTAAAGAAAAAGGAGACTAAATCAGACTGTACTGTCTTGCTGGCAATCACTGAAATGAAAGAAGATTTTTTTTTTAAGAGAAGGATTTTTGCTATAGGGAGAGACAGAGAGAAACAAAGAGATAGAAAGCAAGAAATCACTCCCAGGCAGGATGGCCATGCTGTAGTCCCTTCTCCTCTATTCTCCTCTCTCCATTCTCCTCTCGGGACTTTGGGCACACATGCACATGCGCCTGGCATGAGTTTTAAGCCATTGGGTCTGGGACTCAAACCATGGTCAACTACATGGGAGCTCAACGATATAACCATTAAGCCATCAGCTGGTCCCAATGACAGAAGATTTTTTTTTATGAAGAGATCAAGGACTCTCATGGCCAGGAGGTTATAAAGACCCTAGGCCTTTGGGAAGAACTCCTTAATCAAGGAGTGCCACAGTGAAGAAAAACTTAAGCTAGACATCTCCTACTTAACAAGTGTATCTGTGCTGAAATCAATAAGCAAAGTAGACATCTTTGTGTTAGTAATCCTTTCTCCTGATACCAGGATAGTATACTTCAATTTCATCAGTATTATCTGAGTAGCATCAGTAAGATGGAGGCAGAGAAGAAGGTAGTAAATCCAGGGCTAATTCCTAATATTATATCCAAATATGAGTGCAATTAACTTATTTTGACTGCATTGTTCATTCACTTTTTTTTTTATATAGCTTGAATTTCTTCCACTAACATTACAATTTCTAAATAGTAGAGAAAGATTTCGATGGCCAAACTCCACTAGGTCTTCTCTTTACATTTTCTTAATCCTAAACCATGCTGCCAAAGATTCCTAGCATTAAATACTACTCACACCTTGAAAAACATTATTTAGAGGATAAGATGTTGAACAGGGACAGAGGAAATGGGAAGGACTTGAAAATTAACTGGAGCTAGTGGTAGTGGCATTTGAGATTGAGGTCTGAGCTTCTTCTCTTCTTTTACTTGCTAAATTTTCTAACTGTATTAGATGTGTATTCCTTTCAAATTAGCAAATTATCTCAGATTTTCTATTAATTAGTTCTATAATTTTGAATATAATTTTGAATATACCTAACCTCTAAGGACATCAGTTTAGTTTCCGTAAAATGACAAAAGTTAGTAAGATGATAATTTTCTAGTTCTGATAATACTCTTTCCTAATGTGTTACACCTTTATCTTCCTTTCTCAACTAGCACACACAGGAGATTTAAAAAATTACTGAAATATTTTGTAAGGGTATAACTGCCAACAAAATCCAATTATATTCTTGTTACCACAAAGCAAAAGTCAGTTCTTTAAAAATGACCCATTCGAGAAGGAAATTGGAGTACTATCATGTAACACTCATCAAGCCATTTATGCTATGAAAAAAAAATCTTCCTTCAGAGTGATTAGTTCAAAAGGTCAGTCTCTTAACACAGTGGTGAGGGTTTTCTTTTTTTTTTCTATTGGATCAATCTATTACCCTAAAGGATAAATATAGACATCTATTTCCTTGAAGGTAAGTCCTTTGAGAATTGAATTTGATAGAATTATTTAATAAAGCAGAGCACTGCATTTTCTACAGCTTTATTGATATTTTTAATTTTTTATACCATTACCATTTGTTTTACTTACAGATCCCTTTGGGCCAGGCAATCCTATATCTCCCTAAATCAATAAGACAAAATTATATTAGAACAATGTATTCATATTTGATAGTTTCCTAAAAACATTTAAAAGGTTATTACACTGCTGAAGTATAGATAACCATAAAGAGATTAACCTTGGCACTATGGAAAATATTAGACTTAAAATCTGTACTCTAACCCCAGTTCTGCTACTTCAACCTGTGGCCCTATGTGAACTATGGAACCTACCCCTCTTTGACTAACTTATCTGTTAGACAGGCTTGACTCAGTTTGCCAAGATTCCATCCAGATCTACTGGGTTGTCGGAAAAGTCATGATGCATTTTTGCATAGATAAACAGAAAGAATACATCATGACGTTTCTGGCCACCCAATAAAATACTAGGCATTGAGAATTAAAATGGGTAAATTAGAAGATATTAAAATATTATTCTGTTGTAAAACACACTGGACATTCAAACCAAATGACTTCATTTTTGTAATGCAAACAATATTTAAAATGTGTCCCCAAAAGTCTATCAAACAAAACTATGCATGCTTTTATGCTTAAAAAAATATCTTGGGAATTTCCTACCACTAATTCTAAGTGCAAATTCAGTTCAAGCATTAGCAAATCAGCTAATCTCCACTACAAAACAGAAGATTTAAAATATCCACTTCACCCATAAAATGAACAACTTCAACAGAAAATAAAATTGGAATAATCTTATGAATTTACTTAATAGTTGGAAAGCTTTGCCTAATTTAGATATTGCACTTATATTAACTCTAAATCCTAAAAACCAGAGTAGAACAGCTCATTTTTCTGGCACATAGACTCTCTAAAATTATTTTACCAGGAATCTGTCACCTCACCTTCAAAGAACCAAAACATAAGTTTCCACACTAGGTCCTGTTAGTCTGTATCAAAACCATGATGAGCCAGCAGACCAAGCAGTTCTAGCAGTAGCAATAACTTGTTTTCGTTCTTATTGCCTTCCTGGAAATTTAACAGTGGCCACCTCTGGGGATGGAGTTCACTGCTTTGGACGGTTTTAAACTAGAGAAAATGACCTTGGTCAGATTCATGAGCCACAACTTTCTAACTATAATAAAACTTCAATTTTGTTTCTATAATAGGCACTATGGTTTTATATTGTCATATGAGAATCACCTTGAATGTCTAGATGTAAAGATGAAAGAGAATTCACCATAGTTAAGGGAACACTTTTGTTCTCCAAAGTTTAAAGCCTAATCTTTCCAAAACTCTGCTTCACACAATCTCAGCTGAATCTTGGGAGTCTATTGTTAACTTATAGAAGGAACATTTTATAATTTTCAGAAGGCAGTGAACAGGGGAAAAAATGTTTATGTTTTTTGTTTTTGTTTTTTGTTTTTTGTTTGTTTGTTTTTTGAAATATGGTTGAAATGAGTAAGTCTTCATCATTAACCAGGAAAAAAAAAAAAAACTCACAAGTTCACCCCTTCTTCCTGCTTCACCTTCTTCACCAGAAGCACCCTAAAAATTAAGATGAAAGGTCACAATTTTGAATTCTTAGTCTCATAGCTCAATTTCAACCAGTCAATGTTGATATGCATTCATAGGTGCCCAAGGTGCTTCCAGGATCATAAAGAAATACAAAATGCTCTCAATGGCTGATCACTTTAGAAAATAACACAGAAAATAACCTAGATAAAAGCCAGAAGGTACAGATTGAATCTCAGCTAAAATTAAGAATTAATGACCACATCCAGCAATTTTATAATTATGTAACCCTTGAAAAAGGGCTCTTCCAGTAGGGAAAAGAACCCAGGGAAAGGATTGAGTTATAATTCATAAGACAGTTTATTTGCTGAGGTCTTGATCAGGAAAAAGTTACAACATTATGATGTGGCTATGGAAGATTCCTTCAGACACCAGTGAAGTAATCTGGTGAATCAGAAACACAGGACTATCTTTTTTTTTTTTTGGAGAGGTTTTCGCTATAGGGCGCGTGCGCTTGCCAGACAGACAGAGAGAGACATAGAGACGGAAAGCGAGAAATCACCCCCAAGGGGGGATGGTCACACTGCAATCCCTTCTCCTCCATTCTCCTCTCGGGATCTTGGGCACGCATGCACACGCGCCGGGCGTGAGTTCTAAGCCACAGGGTCAGGGACGCAAACCGCAGTCGATCACGTGGGGGTCCAGCGACATAACTGTTACGCTAACTGCTGGTTCCCAGGACTATCTTCTTCAAAGAAGGAAAGTATGTAGTTCCTGAGGCAGAGCCATTATTAGCTTCAACTTATTTAAATAGTTAATAAGGCTACAGACCAAACTCAACTGTAGGTTTCACTCACTGTGAAGCACACTGGGAAAAACTGCTAGCCTCCATTGTTTTAATCATACCCATACAGCAGCCAGCACCCTCTGCTGGTGAGGCAGTATGTACAAACACTGAATGTCATACCAAGCAAACAGTAGGATTTACCTGTTCACCCTTTGGACCGGGTTCACCAACTACACCCTGTAATGAATAAAATATAATACCTTTTTAGTATTTTGAGTTCTTCGTAATACCTTTTTAGTATTTTGAGTTGTTCATATAATTTCAAATGAGCCAGCTTCTGTTACTGGACTGATGAATAAACACAAGTATTGATAATGTGATGGGAAAGAATTTCCTCATTTCTCACCCAACAAGAATTTTAGAAAGACCTCCAAAAATTGATAATTGTCTCAAAACCTCTGGAAACTTGAGACATTTTCTTATTACATCATGTAAAATTTGATGAGAAGGAATATACATTTGGAACTAAATAGAAAGCATGATTACAATTGAATTTCTAAACTTTTCTCAGCTCTTTTTCCTCCTGATAAATTATTACATTTTTAATTTTTTATTATATTTTTGCTTCTTAAGTTTGGCTCTCAAAATTTCTTGGTAGCTCTCTCTAGTAAATTGTAGAAAAATTATTCACTAGACCAAAAGCAAGCTTTGATATAGTAGAACTCCTCCTTCCAAATAAGGAACTTTCCGGGATGCTGTCTTACCCTGTCACCTTTCATTCCAGGAAGTCCAGGAGGTCCAGGCAAGCCAGGAAGACCAGGGCTACCAAGAGAACCCTGTAAAACAAACAAAGTCCCCAGAGTCACAGTCACTACAGCACTGAAAGTATACAAGTTGGCCACAACCTTGGGTGTATTGACTTGTAACTGAAATAAATGTATTGTGGTTGGTTTAACTGCTCTTAGAGTTTGCATCTCTCCCACAGCCCAAAAAAAATCCTGCGGCATCCCTTGGCCACAGTAAGCTCTTTCAGTTAGACTCCTGCAATAGCTACTCTTGGTTCTCTTGCTGTGTAAACAAGCACCATGACAGATGTAAAAGGCAGCATTGCCTACAGCTCTCTTCAATTCCAAGAACAACCAGAAGCCAAGTGTAGAATTTCATGCGTCTCCCAGTCTTATATGCCACAAACCACACTGGTTAAAATATCCTCTGCTAGTACCCTAGCTATCATTTAAAATTTTACATTTACATTTTCGTACATTCACATAACAATAAAAATAAAGTATGGCTGATTGAATGACCCTTTGTAAATTGTTTTTCTCTCATTGCCTATTTTTTTAAAATGCATTGTGTTTTGTAGAATGGAAATAAACATCCGGAGGATGGAAATATTATAATACTTACCATTTTACCTGGTAGGCCTGGGGATCCTACTGGCCCTGTTTCTCCTCTACTGCCCTGAAAAAAAAACATCAATGTCAACTGAATATTTCACCAAAATTCAAATGTTTAATTGCTATGTAAGTAAAGTAAAAGCCTACTTAGGTTTTGGTTTAAATATAAGTCATCAAATTATCCTCTTCATCCCTCTACTGAAGGCATACGTCTTCATATAAAGAGCCTGCAGCATCCTCTGAGCTCATCTGTCACTGAATGTTCTATCAATGTTCATTGTGATTACAGACCATTAAAAACAGTATGTGACACATGTCTATGAGGTGGCAATGAGTAATTTTCAGCATCTAAATCGTATTCTAACTCCTGGTCATTTGTATACATATCTATCCCATCACTTACACTATGTACTCCCAAGGTCTAGGTATACATTAATTAGAAATTCCTCACAGTGCCTAGAACACAGAGTAAATTTTAAAAGCTAAAAGCATTATAATGCAACATCTGGCAAATGATCTTAAGCCTCAAGAGTGAAAGAAGAAACACCGGATGGAGATGTTTGCCTTTAAATTACTATTGTAACTTCAAAAAGACACAGATGGTAAAAATTTATTAGGTTTCTAAAATTAAAAATGATTTGTTTTACTCGCTCTGGTTTAAACACATCTTAAAAGATTAAATAGGCTTTAGAAAGTATCATTTACAGCAAAGATATCCCAAAAACAACACTAATTTTATTTTCTGAGCCACTTCCAATTTTTTATTTGAAACTCTAAGGTTTCAAAATTTTAGCTAAAACTCCAAGCTTTGTGAATCTTTTGAGAAAAAGAATCATATGAACTCTTCAACTTCATTCCCTGAGAACTCAATACTATTTTATACACTCTAATAAAATCTCATTTTATTTCTAACGCATGTTCAACTAAGCCTAACACCGAGGTTATTGGATAAATAACCACATTTCCTGGAAGGCATATATAAAAATAAAAGGAATTCTTTGAGTTTAGTTTTTTAAATGACATAACTCCATATTAATGTTTAATATTTATAAATGGTTCTGATAATATAATTCTGTTCTGAACTATGTGCTATTAACTTGTCTTTAAGTTGAACAGAGTATCGAGATCCATAAACCTTCCAAATTTTCAATTTCTCTAAAGGATTAAGAAATGTTTGCCAAATGGGAACCAGCAGTTAGTGTAATGGCTATGTCGCTGGACTCCCATGTAGTCGACCGCGGTTCGTGTCCCGGACCCGGTGGCTTAAAACTCACGCCGGGCGCATGTGCGTGCGTGCCCAAGATCCCGAGAGGAGAATGGAGGAGAAGGGATTGCGGCGTGATCATCCCCCCGGGGGGTGATTTCTCGCTTTCTGTCTCTATGTCTCTCTCTGTCTGTCTGGCGAGTGCACGTGCCCTACAGTGAAAATATCTCCAAAAAATAAAGAAAGAAAGAAAGAAAGAAAGAAGAAAGAAAGAAAGAAAGAAAGAAGAAAGAAAGAAAGAAAGAAAGAAATGTTTGCCAAATTACAACACTTTCTACTTATCAGCTATAACTTGGTGGTACTCATTTTATACGAGTTATAGATGAATTACACTAATGCTGTTAACTATTTTTCAACAACTCTATATAAACAACCCGTCCAGTGCGTGACTTTAGGATGACACATTGGTCTCTAACCCTCAAGAGCCTTAGAAGCCAGAGGCAATACTCCATAAGTACTGATGCTAGAAGGGTGTAGGTCCAGATGATAATCAGCCATTATAATAAATTCCTCCAGCTCTAAACATAAAGATTGGGTTCTGCTCCTTTAATTCAACCTACAACGTCAATGTTCAAGACAGAGTTTCTCCACTATATTTGTTCTCTTGTCATTTTCAAGTAACTTCTCAACTGCATCTGATCTAGGTACTAATCGTCATTAAGCAAACATGATTTTAATTCATAGAACAATAAATAGTCATTGGTGGGAAAAAAAATACTATCAGGAGGGGAAAGTTCAGTTTTTTACAAAATCGGAAGAATTTACTTCTAAATAAATGGACCATTGTGCTACCTTTTCCAAAATAAAGATGATTATTGTACACATGTTTCCTCTTCCATAAACCAAACAGCTAAATTAAAATAAAGGATTGTATAACATTCGATCAATTTGGGAGAAGGATTCATTATTTTCCTAAAGACAGAGATTTTCTCAGCTGATCTTATCCTCTCTTCCTTTCATGAGTTGTTATTATTCAGTCCGTAAGTGCTTTCCAACCACTGGCAGGCCCTTGGAAACATGAATGAAGGACACGGAGCCCCCGTAGAGACAGCCTGCTCTGCCGCACTGCGTTCTTAGCCCACGTAGAACCAGTGGAAGGATCAGCGAAACTGTGGGCATTTACTCTGCTTCTGCACCAGCACACACCATGCGGATCCTCAGTTTTCTGTCACTTCCATCCTGTAATTCTTTGGCCATTCTAAAGATAGGTTATTTCTATAGAAATCATCTCGCTGTGAAAAACAGTAATGTTCCTTTTCACAACAGTGACCAGCCACTTTCAAACAAGTTATTAAGGCAAAATCTTCTGATGGCCATTCTTGTCATTGCAGCGTATTGTAAAAACATGCTTACTACGTTCTGGAATTTCACCTAATCGGCTAAGATAAACATGAGTAATCAAGACATAGAAATCTTTTAAAGCATCGATTAAGTTAAATGCATTCTGCAGGGAGTAATTAACCATTGTACTGTAATTACAAGTATGCTAATTAATGGTAAGTCTCATGCTTCAATCACCATATTGATAACCATGTTCTCAGTTATGGGCAAGACAGAGTGGTGGAGGCATAGCTAATCCTCTCAGTGGCTAACATTTACAAACCCCATGACCAAAGAGTTCCTATGTGCAATAATGGTATTAGAAGGAACTAGAATAAAGGCCCAATCCTACCAGTAAAAATGTGAAACAGTAATAAAAGCCTCTACATTTCTCTTGGACACCGTGTACTGCACACACATCTCTCGTGAACTCAGACACATTTGCCAGTTCGCCCTTATTTAAGTAAAGTCAACCAAGGCTTCAAAAAATCACAGGCCTTTTATCAAGCTTCCCATCTATGGCTACATATCAAAATCCTTTGAGTTCTTGGGAACCAGCAGTTAGCGTAATGGCTATGTCGCTGGACTCCCACGTAGTCAACCGCGGTTCACGTCCCGGACCCGGTGGCTTAAAACTCACACCGGGCGCGTGTGTATGCGTGCCCAAGATCCCGAGAGGATAATGGAGGAGAAGGGATTGCGGCGTGGCCATCCCCCCTGGGGGGGGTGATTTCTCGCTTTCTGTCTCTATGTCTCTCTCTGTCTATCTGGCAAGTGCACAAGCCCTATAGCGAAAACCTCTCCAAAAAAAAAAAAAAAATCCTTTGAGTTCTTTAGAAATATATTGGGCTAGATGTCTTTCTCCAACTCGAGTCCCCTTTCCCTATGTTTCTCAGCCTCACACTCCCTTATTTTAATTCTATAGGTCTGGGCTAAGACCCAAGAATCCATTCGGTTTGTGCTGTATTTGTTTGTATCACCTTTATATAGATTTCAGTTAAAAAGTCCCATAAATATTAAAATTAAAATTGGCTAGATATGTCCTGTACCATCAGAATTTGGCAAGCAAACTCCCAATAGAAAACATCTTGCCGAGTTACGACTTGGAGATGAAGACATGGAGGCTGAGCCTGTTTGTCAGGGTGGAAGCTGACTTTGCCTTGCATCAGCTATAACCGCAGACAGGCAACCTAACCTCTATGTATCTGTTTCCTTATCTATAAAATGGGGATGACCAGAATCTACCTCAGGAAGTGTTTGTGAGTGCTGACATGCTAAGATTTATGAATCACTTCAAACAGTGCCTGGTTCATAGTAGGCAGTGTAGAAGCGTTAGCTATTTTTTTTTTTATCTGAGGTCATTACTGAAGAAATCAGTTAAAATTATGTTTCTAACCAAAAGTTTAATTAAATGTTGTTTGCCTTTTAAATACCTCAAGTCTCTATAAAAGCAAAGGTTTCATGTGGAAAAAAAAAAAAACAAAAACAAGGCTTTAGTCTTCATAGCTCTGGTTTCTGGAACACCACTAATCACCAAGCAGGCACCTTCTTTGTAAATAAGTACTAGGTGCTACTTAGTAAAACTCATTTCCATAAATATGAGGAGACTAATCATTCGAATTGAAGGTTTCCCTTAGTTTAAAATGGAGTGATTAGAGATTTTAAATACCACAGAAAATATGAGACAATTTAATTATACTTACATTGCCAAAATTATTCTACAAAAAAATAGATTTTATTCCATTGCACTCTATCTAGCTTGTAATGATGTTTGTGTTTGCCCAGTGACCTGATATGCTAAGTAGATAAATAATGAACACTATGTCTAGTATCTTTCCAGTTTAAAATGGGAAACTATAATAGTTTTTAATTTTGGCACAAAGATATTTTTAAAAGTCCATTCGATTCTGCATGATATGGTCTAGATTTCTCTCTAGTATAGGTTTAAATATTCCCTCACACAGAGCGGGAAAAACTTCCTAAACTGTAACCATCACATGCATCAGCTTTACAAATTACTATCAGGGCTAGCAGGCCAAGGCCCTGGCAGGATGGGAGGGCAGTTCAGATCCTTCCACAGCACATCGTATGGGGACCTCTGACTTGAGGCTGTTGATGTTGGGGTGAAGGTGAGGGACTACCGGAGAAATGAGACAGGCTTCTATACTTTCCGAGCATACCCTCTTCAGAAAACTGGAGGTAGACCATCATGATGCCCACCGCAGTCAGAACCAAGGCAGTGGAGTAAACACAGCCCACTTGGTGAAAGCCCTGGCAAGTACTGAGAATCTGGAAAATGGAAATGACCAGAAGCCACTAGATAGGAGGACCATGTCAGAGACATAGGTCATCTGCCTGCCTTGGGTCAGGAGCCATCTGGGCCAAGTATAATCCAAATGGGGTGTGACAGAGAAGCCAGAAGCTTGATCCAAGTGCCAAAAATAGGCACTCAAAAAATCACCAGAGCTACCAAAAAGGAAAAAAGAAAAAAAAATAGTTTTTGCAGTGATATTGGCCAAGATCGATAAAAATTCTACCTAATTTCAAAGACACATTAGAAATACATTTTTATTCCTTCTATTCAACTTGATTTGAGATTTGCAGGAAAACCTGATTGAACTTGTGAGACACAGTTAAAAATGTGTGAACTGATCTATAAAGCTGAACTTAATGTCATAAAAAGAAAGAATAAACGTATCTTTCAGTAAGCAAATTTAGTGTTAAAACTCTGCTCCAAAACTAGAATATTTATAACCTATCATGACACTTTCTTGAAAAATTGATGGCAGGTGAGAAGTCAATTATTACTATTGAAAGCAGCATAGCAGGATTTATTATGCCTCCCATTTCATTCATTTCAAGATATGTGTATTGAGCACTACCTTATGACAGGTAAAGAGATGTAGGGAATACAGAAGTGAATCAAACACCCCCTTCACCCTCTGCAGTCACCACAGCATGGGGTATAGAGGTGTCAAGAGTCACAGAGTTCAAAATAAGGACAGATCATGTCTATCTGGGAGATAAGCAATACTGGAGATGTTTTCATGGTGGAATTGACATTCCACTTACATCTAAGGGAGCACATGTAATGGTGAGTCAGAGAAATGGGGAAGAAAGCTCAGTGCAGGGCCTGACATGAAGGAAAACAGGCTGGAAAGAGCAAAGAGTGCTTGGGAGGGAATTAGCATGGAATCCAGACCGAATTGAACACAGGGTCTGAGCAAGGCAGAAATAAGAAGTACAAGTAGTAGGTTAACAGACAGTTTAAGGTTTTGGATTTTCTCTTGTCAGTAGAAATCCATTGAAGATTTTCACATGTAGAGGATAGGTGATAATGGAAGCTGTACTTCGGAAAGATCAATAAGGTGGTGAGTGCATACAGGCCACTTTCATTCCCCAGGGCCTATGGAATTGTGGTTGGCATTTCTGTTTGTCCCAGAGATTGTAAAGACACTATTAGTGTGGTCATGAATTCGAGACATCCTGCAATGTTGCAAAAGTCTTGAAGAACGAAGAAGGAACCCACCCAAAATAGCAACTGTGCCCTATTGGGAGACACTGGTAGAGCAAGAAAAGCCTGGAACTAGGAAAGAAATCAGGAGATGACTGCAATCATAGGTAAATAAATACAGGCAGTAGGTGACAACATGTACCAGGCATGGCAGAAGTGGGAGTGAAATAGAAAAGCCAAATAAGAGAGATCTTGAAAAGAATATAGAATCAACAAGTTCTACCAGAAATAGGAAATGTATTAGAGGAAAAGTATCAAGACTTTGGACCTCAATGAAAGAACCAATGGGAAGAATGTGGACTCTTACAGAAATTCAAATATCAAAACATAAAATTGAGACCCAAACCTCTGCATCAGCAGATCCATCTCTGCTAATCCATCTCCACTGACATAAAAGAATTCACCACCCCACCCGCTTCTTAGGTTCTGCCTCTAGTTTTTCATCACTTTATACATCCCATGACACTCTGCTGGTGACAAGCCAAACACTGTCTACTTTGTTCCAGTTTTTGTGTTCAGTGCATGGTGCTGCACACAGCAGGTGCTTGGTCAATGTTTCTTCAGCTATGCAGTTTTCTGCTCTAGAAAGTAAATTGTGGACATGATCGTAAATGCTCTCAAATTTCTAACGCCCCACACTGCTAAATCTTCTTGGTCCAGTCAAAGGGCGTCTTCATTGCTTTAGAAATGTCATCTGGCTATAACCACAATACTTTGGCAGTTAATTTTTGGCAAGTATTTTAATTAGAAATTCACAGGCTTCAAGGAAAAGAATAAGCAAGGAACAAGTAAACAAAGAGCATGGCAAAGAGCGGGAGATAGTGTCTTTAATCACAGAGAAACTTCTGGAACCTGTTTGAAATCAGTTGATAATTTTTTTTTTTTTTGAGAGGTTTTTCACTATAGGGCGCGTGTGCTCGCCAGACAGACAGAGAGAGACATAGAGACAGAAAGCGAGAAATCACCCCCCAGAGGGGCTGGTCACACCGCAATCCCTTCTCCTCCATTCTCCTCTCGGGATCTTGGGCACGCACGCACACGTGCCCGGCGTGAGTTTTAAGCCACCGGGTCCGGGACGTGAACCACGGTCTACTACGTGGGAGTCCAGCGACATAGCCATTACGCTAACTGCTGGTTTCCAGTTGATTAAATATTTGTGAGAAGCAGGAAAAACCCCACTTTCAAGCCACAGATACCTGGAATATTTCTTATTTCTCCAGCATAAATAGTCTCATTCAATGTGCTTAAGATATGTATGGCTTAAAAAAAAAAAAAAGTAATAACATTTGGCAATGTTTTTGTGCTCACACTTGGAGTTCTTCTTGCTATCCAGTTGACTTTGAAAATAAGAACTGAAACCAGGGACCAACAGGCGGTGTGGTGAGTCCTGAACTTGGTGGCCTGCTTTCTCACTTTCCCTCTCTCTCTCTTTCTATACACACACACACACACACACACACACACACACACACACACACACATATATATAGTGGGTACAGGGATTCTTTTGGGGGTTATAGAAATGTATTGAAGCTTATTGTGGTGATGGTTACAGAATTCTTTGAATATACTAAAAAATATCAATAAATTGTACAATGGGTGATGTACATACTATGTGACTAGTTCAATAAAGTTCTTTTGATCACACTATTTTCTTCAACATGGGATAAGAGCAGGAAAGTTCCTCGTGCATCTTTTAAGCACGTCTTTGTTTTCATTTTCTGAAAGAAGACATACTGTATATCTAAATAACCATTTCATCGTTGGTCTAGATCGCGCATGCTCAAAGGTCAGAAGGCACTTAGGTCTGAATGAATAAAGGAAGGGGAAGCAGCGAGTGCTTTAGATGTACTCACAGGAAGGCCCCGGGGTCCTCGAGGTCCCACCTCTCCTGGAGGCCCCTGTTGGCCCTGTTATGAGGAACACAGATAGAGAAAAACTTAGTATCCCCTGATCCTTTGCTTCCTGATCACAATAGGCTATGAAAAGGTAAAATGGCATCTTACCGGTTTGCCTGAATTTCCCATTTGACCAGGCTTTCCTGGAGCACCTGTGTTACCCTAGAAGTAAAATTCAACAAAGTAACTCAGACTGTAAGTAAACATAACCACAATCTGCCTGGATAAGGCAGACTGGAATTCTTCTATTTCCATAGCACTAATCTCCTGATTTTACACTAAGATTTGGGAAGATAAAGAATCTTTTTTTCAGTGGATACATCAAAGTTCTGTAAAAAATATTGTCTGTTTGCCCAAAAATTATATTAAAGAGCAAATGTCAGAAAATGAAAGCCTTTAGCCTTCATTTAAAGGGATTCACTTCAATTAGAGGATCTTTCTTTCGTCACAATATTAATTATATACATCTTCAACCATTTCTACTTCTAACTCATTTCTTTGAGCCCTTTTACCTCATATCAACACTATTAAAATTATTTTTTTTAAATTAGCGTGGAGAAATAAGAGAATGTGCTATTGAGAGTCTCGCCAGCAAGCTCTAGGAAAGCACACGTCTGGAGATACCATCTCCACCATCCGTGTGTCATGGCACACGTACTAGGGACCGTCTCTGCTCAAGACACTGCAAACCACTATGAATGGAGGCTTGTAACCATATACTCTAATAGTCATACTCAATACTCTATGTCATTCATATTTTATCTACTTTATTCTAAAGCAAAGCTATATTTTATCCCTTTAATTTTTTTCTTCCACCTATTGTTTTTAATTGCTTACTCTTTAATTCTGTATGGAATATAAACTATGACCAGGATGCAAACAAAACACCTGTCTTTTTAAGCTAAATTGTTTTAATAATATTCACTCACATAAAATTCTATGGCTTAATAGTATCTCCCTTATTTTAAGTGGGAGGAATAATAAAACCTTCTCTGCTATAAAACAGTAAAGGATGTCGTTTTTATGAAGGTAGCCTAATCAGCAGCAGTTTATCTTCTGCAGCTGCAAAAAAGGTTAGCATTTGAACCTTAAAGCTTTTACTTTTTCATTTCTCCCTAGGGCCAAATATAAACTAAAAGTAGGCTGTAAATATTAAAAAAACAGGAAAATATATTAGTAAAAGAATAAAGAAACTAAGAAAAATATTCATTTAAAAGTTTTTACCTTTTCGCCAGCAATACCCTTTGCACCAGGCATTCCGGGTACTCCCTAAAAAAAATGCACACAAGATCTGGGTTTGATTCTTCATCTGAGAATCCTCAAGACACCACATACTGCACACTGCCAAGAGGCTGAGGGAATCATGACAGCCTCAAAGCCTTCATATGAGGGAGATACGTCATGCTTCCTCCCAGTTGCTGGAACGTCAGTTACAGCATTACCCACAGTTTAGAAGGCATTATCTTACTATATCTGGCTTCTTGAGGATGAATAGCCTTAAAGCAAATTCTACCTCTAAACTAAAGTTATTTTTCAAAGATAAACTTTCTGAGCCTAAGATTTGGTTCGGCTGGGAGTCCTAATATTCTCTGATTACTTAAAGTGTCAGATGCCATAATAGATGGGAGGCCAGTCCTTACATTACCAAGTATGCTTTCTTAATTTGAAACGTTTGCCTCCAAAGAGCCAGGAACGCATGTCGTACAATCCACACAAACTTTCAGACAAATTAATGCAGGAAAACACCAATCTGAATGACTCAAAATAGCAAATAACCCCAAAATGGTATCTTATATCTCACGTTGTTTTCTGTGCCTATTCTTAACCCTTTGGTAGCTAAATCCTGCTAAAAAGAACTCTAAAACTAGCTAAATTTGGACAAACCATGTGACACTAGCTCACAACTCAGGGTTGGTTAAAAATAAAAGGAAGACTGAGGAAACTAGAGAAAGAAGAGGGATCCAAAATAAAACATTGAAGCTTATGAGTTATTAAATTATTACAGAAATAACTATTCATAAAAAAGTCCAAAAAATGTAAAATGTAAATAAAAAACTATGAAATTATAAAGAATAAAGTATCATATATTCCCCAGAATTTATCAAATTAAGGAACATATCTCTTTTTAAAATTTTTATCTTTAAAACATGCGTATAAACCAATAATCATGTAAAGAATCAGTAACTCACTGGTAACCCCTGTAATCCTGCATCACCAGGAGGCCCTGGTTTCCCCGGTTCACCCTAAAAAAAAAAAGTTTTCATCACATCGTTGAACCTGTATGAACCACTGTACTTCTTTTAAGTAAGAGAGGAGCATAAGTAAAAACATTATTCCAACAGCTGACCTCACATGCACTGCTTTAATATGACTTAATTAGGGGCTGAGGGGTGGGGGATGGGATAGAATACAGGACATAATTCAAAATGCACAATTTCCCTCAGTCTGCTAGCAACAGGGCAATTGTAATGACTTTGTGAAGTCAAGCAAGTGAATATACTACCCTAATAAGTATGTTGTATTTGACAGTTGATTAAAAAATTAAGAGGGAAAAAAAAAAAAAAAAACACGAGGCTTTTTAAGTAAGCCCCCTGACAATGTAGTAACGGCAAGGTGAGTTCAGTTGGCGGAGCAGAGACAGCCATCTGCTCTTGGAGTAAACCACACAGTTACCTTTGTTCCAGGCATTCCAGGTATCCCATCACGGCCATCCACACCTGGCAAGCCCTGAAGACACAAAGAAACACACTGTCCCTTAGACATGGTCACGTTCTTCTTCCCTTCATTATTTTCTAAAGGTTTAATACAAGTCAGCAGTCACTTTGAAAAACGTGCTAGACGGACTGCAGGTCAGGACATACCGTGTCTCCTTTGGGCCCAGGGGGGCCAGGAATTCCTCTAGAACCTTGAGCTCCCTGCAGGGCAAAGGAGAAAGAACAGACAAGTTCATGATCACAATAATTAGGGCATGTCCGAGAGATAAGCAAAGTCATCAGATGACGCTGGAAAGCAGGACGCTTTTAGTGATTAAGACTAATCGGAACTCACTCTGTCTCCTTTGGGACCTGTTTCCCCTGGAGGTCCTCGTTGTCCCTGGTCGCCCTGTATGAAAATACAATTTTATTGATATAAACAGAAGTAACCGATGGATCCATGTTTTGGAATTAGAAAGCATCATCCACATCTTATTGTTCCTTAGCAACAACGGCTCTGCTCTAGCAAAGGTGCTTCTCTCAAGAAATCATTTCTTATACAAATTACATCGCCTTAAAAATTGATATTGCCACAGGGGTAATTGAGACTTCCATGTCTTTTGTTTTCATTTGAAATGCATACTGCATCTGTGCTCTTTGCACGTGCATGTAAGATAAAATTAAGTTCTATTCTGTAGGTAGTAACGTCAGTAACTACATCTACCTGGAGAGTTGGAGTTTGGATCCACTGCCATTGTGGCATGGCCAATCCCCTAGGGGATGATTTCTCACTTTCTGTCTCTCTGTCTCTCCAGCAAGTGAACACTTCCTATAGCAAAAATCTCTCTTAAACATTTTAAAGAATAAATAAATACAGGTTTTGTTGAATTGCTTAGTTACTCTAAATCTTAAATAGCTCCCTAGTGCTACCCGGATCAGTTCAGATCACTAAGACTGGGATTCAATGTTCTCCATAACATGGTTCTATCTTGCTTATTCAGTATTATCTTCTCAACACAAACTTGCCACCCCAGGCAGTGACAACCTGGGGTTGTCGCATGTGGCCCCATCATCCCCAGCACTGCCTCTCCTGTACTTTACTGCCTTTCCCACTCAGAACAGCTTTCTGTATTAAACAACATGCCTTCCTCACCTCTGTCACATGCTCTAGCATTTAATCTTATAGTTTATCACTGAGTGACAGCTGCCTTCCCTACTGAACTGTAAATGCTCAATAGCTGAAAATTCTAATTCACTTGAACCTCTTCTAATTTTTATGTAGTATAGGTGATGACTAGCACATGACTCTTTTTATCTGTGTACCTCAGAAAAATGTTTGACATAGCCCATAATAACAGCACATGTATGCATGGCAGTCAAAATACGGAATGGGATGAAAAATGATAGAAAAAAGAAACTATCAAACTGCTCATGGGGACAAGCAGTTGGCGCTATGTCACTGGACTCCCATGTAGTCAAACGCGGTTCGAGTCCTAGACTTGGTGGCTTAAACTTACACTGGGCGCATGTGAGTACGTGTCCAAGATCCCGAGAGGAGAATGGAGGAGAAGGGATTATGGCATGGCCATCCCCCCAGGGAGTGATTTCTCACTTTCTGTCTCTCTGGCAAGCACACATACCTTATAGCAAAAAAAAAAAAAAAGAAAGAAAAAGAAAAGAAAAGAAAAAAAGAAAGAAAAAGAACTGCCCATGAACTATTTGGCTGTCAGAAAAGTCATTATGTATTTTTTCTATAGTTTTCTACACAAAAATGCATCATGACTTTTCCAGCCACCCAATAGATATGAGATAGTTATTGTGACTGTAAGTATCTTGCCAGGCAAAGCAAGAGGAAGACACAACAAACATAAATATCTAACGAAATGACTTAGCCTCTAAGAAAAAAAGATAAATTTATATCAAATAAGAACATATCTTTGTACCCAAGAAATACATGCTTGTCTTAATTAAAATTTTTAAAATAAATATAAAAGCTAGTGCCCATTTTCCACTTTGTTCACATATGAAAGATATTCACACACACACACACACACACATATATATACAACAACAAAAAAAATCTATCATTGGTTAAAAAAAACACACTATTATTGGATTTTGTGGGAGAAAAACAACTTACAGGTGCACCAGGAAGACCCCGAGGCCCAGGTTCTCCATCAAAGCCCCGAGCACCCTGCAAAAAACAAATAAAGAAATAAAATTTAGATCAGGCATGTGTGATAAAGGGGACATCCATCTTTCTAAAGGGATTTAATAGCCAGATTAAAAGGAGGCTTTGTGTCTATAATACGTAAATGTATTAAACTTTGAGTAGAAACATGCTACTCAGCTTATCAGTGAGCTCTCAGGAGTATTTAATCAGACATCTACATATGAAAACACTAAAGCAGCGCATCTGTGCATCTGCTCCTCAACCAAGCGTATTCAGCCACAATCTTTTCCACCACTCTGGGTGTTTTAGGTTAACACTGCTTCCATGCTCGAGTGCTAAACGAACTAAAAACACTAGTACTTATTCAGAGGACTTGGTAAGTCTACTGGAAGAGGCTTGCCAGCCACCCTCCAGAGTTCCCAGATGCCCATAAGAACACGTTCAGATGAAGACCACGGAGATGAACCACCCTAAGAACGGCTGCCAGGACTCCTGCTGCCACAGCTGTGGGACGAAGTCTCAGGGACGTTACATCTCCCAGCAAGATCTAGAATAACTCCAGCCATTTGATTCAGAAAAACAAATGGTTAGAAAGAACTGAATACCCCCTCTCCCATTCTGGAGAGATGTCAGGTTCAGTTCGTGCAAAGTAACTAAACTATTTTCTTAACAACTGACCCATCTACATCTTTCTAAAGGGATTTAATAGCCAGATTAAAAGGAGGCTTTGTGCTTATAATACGTAAGTGTATTAAACTTTGAAGTGAAGGCATTAGAACAAGTGAAGGCATTAGAACTCCTCAGAACCATATAAATCTAATTATCTTGAAATGATCTCTGCCTTGGCCTATAGCCTATCTATACCTATAGCCAAGGTATAGCCTCCTTCTTTCCTTTATAAGGATCAAAATGTAATTTAAGAAAAAAATACAGTGGTTTTTGGTGTTTTTTATTTGTTTGCTTTTAGTGCTTTCTATACCTGCTACCTGGCAAAATACAACCCCCTTCTTTAAATCTTTTTCTCATGTACCAAGCGCATAGGAAGTACGAGGACAACTGAAGTGTACAGGCAATACCCTAACGAACAGGGTTGAGACGGGAATATGACAAAATAAGGGAAAACAGGCAAGAGGGTATTGGATAGATGTCAGGCCAAGAAAACCAGGTGGATAGCATCTGTAGTAAGAATTAAAAATTAGAAGACCTTTGATAGAAGGTTCAGACATAGGTAGAATCAAAGAAAGAACACAACTGAAGCAGAGAGACCATAGAGCCTTGAAATTCTTTGATCCCTAAAAACCAGAACACAGCAGAAGGCATTCTACATTCACTAGGGAAAAAGATTTGGAAGACCTGAAAAAGACCTTGAATTCATTATGCACCTTGCATTACGGGACAGTGGAGCCTGGCCTGTGCATTATAGAAATGCCTTTGAAGCTCTCTCTCCTCCTCTCGCTCTCTCTCACTTATTGCTGTTCAGCATGAGCTGAGACCCAAACTGCTGTTACTAGGTAACCACTCCATGGGGCTGAGTTCACAAGAAGTGCTTTTTTTTTTTTTAAGCAATTTGACAGAAATCAGGGGAAATGAACAATCTTGAAAAATACTGAACAGAAACATATTTCAAATAAAGAACATATCAAGAACAGTAATTGCTTTCAAAGCGAGGAGTCACATATTTTAGGGGGTCGTTTAAGCCCAGAAAAAGTGAAGGTCTAGGAGTCAGCAGCTTCGAAATAGATGGGATTTATTATTTAATAAAAGAAGAGAGAGACATGGAATATTACTTAAGATTACACATATAGAAAAATAAGAAAGATTCTAATATGGGTTTAATATACAGTTTTTTAAAGAAGTAAATTATTATAGAAGAAATAAAAGAGGAACGTGGGCATAATAAAAATACCTTAAAAAGACAAAGAAAGCCTCAAAAGAAAAACAAAATTGAAAGAAAAATGGTAAGAATTGAAGCCAAACCTCCAATTCACAAAAATGTGCATCTCTTTAAAAAATATTTAATTTCATTTATTGACTATTTACAATCCACAACTTACTCTCATTTACTCAGCAATAAAAGGCTCAATGAAGTTACGTGCAACTGGCACAAATTAGACTTAAAGACTGGAAAGAGAACAAGGCCAGGGTCGGAAATAGCAGTGTGAAAGATGCTTTTTAAAATGTTCTGAGACCTACAAATTGGCTTTCCTAACAACCTTTCTAAGATGCAGTAGTTGTCTTTTTAAAATTGATAGAGAAGCTACATACCACTCCCTGCACATACACACTAAGAAAAAAAATCTCTGAACATATCATAAATGTTCAGTTGGCCTTTGTTTTTCTTTAATTTTCTTTATTATTTTTTTCATTTGCTATAGGGATATATAGGCATGCTATAGGGAAACAGACAGAAAGATAGAGTGAGACAGAGGGAACATAAAAAAGCAAGATCTGGGATTTGAACCGCTGTCAGCCATGTGGGAATCCAGCACCTCAACCACCAGGCCACCTGCTGTCCCCTTGCCATTATTTTCCTTTATGATATTCACTACCAAGCACCACCTGTCCTCCCTCCTCCACCAGCAGCAACACTTCCTCTTTCTAGGCCTGGCATCCCACCTGCCCCACAGGCCTGCCCCGTTCCCCTCTCGAGATGAGCCATTGCTTCATCTGCACTTCATCATACTCCTTGCCATCAGATTTATGCCTCTCTTACTTGCTGCATTGTAGTTAGCTGTCTGTTTATTTATCTCTCCCAATAACTAACTAACTTAATGAAGGTCATCGTCGTCTTTGACTCCCCAGCAGCTTGCAGAGTGCTAGGAGAATCTAGTTTCTGAGACTGGGCTAAGGGCAGGTGGGTGTACTAAGGCCACAAGCATATGATCTCTGTTGAGGGCAGGGCTCAGCAAACAGTGTGCAGGGGAGCCATAGACAGCTCTAGTGTCCTTCAGGGTAACGAACCTTCCTTCTCTCGTCTCTCCTTTTCCATCTTCCCTGTCTTTGCCTCACTTGATCAGAGCACTCCAGGCACGGCGTCAGTACTAGCAGTGCTAACCACTGATAATAAGGTGGGGGCAAAACGTAATAGCCCTGCTTACTCTGATTTACCCAGGATTTAAAAATACATAACGTGACAGTACATGTGTATTGACCATTTCTATCATCAGTACTTGCATCAGAAATGTGGGAACCCAACGCCACATCTACAAAGCATCAAATAAGAAATGATGCTGCTGGAGATGAGAAGCTATTTTTAAATCACCAAAATTGTAAATACGTAATGCATTTTGATATTGTATCATCATCACCCTCTTACCTTTTCCCCTTTGTCCCCGACTATGCCAGTGATGCCTCTCAAACCTTGAGCTCCCTAGAAATAAGAAAGGAAAAGGGGATTATTGTAGACGAAGCACACATTTATTTCAAATCTCATCACAAAAGCTGATCTGTAACACTAAGATATAGTAACAGTACATAGACAAAGCTTTTTAGTTTAGAAAAAAAGGCCAAGGAGAATTCTTCCAGTGGTAAAACCCTTTTATAAAATTTTGAAGACTTATACAAACCTAAGTTGACATAATTACCAATGACAAAAATGTAAACATAGTTAGCATAAAAAGAATTACGACAGTCTATTGAGTTATCTTTTAACTCATGTACAGAGCTTACTCTGCTATTCCCATTGCCTTCATAGTTTGTAACTTGATTACGCATAACATGACTTTAAACCTTGGAATAATTTTCTTTAGGAACGTATGCCATTAGAAGTAGAAAGTCCCCAGACTAGCCCATACAAGCATATGACAAAAATGGAGCTAGCATTTCCATCAACTATTTGTCTTATTCATCATACCATTCCTATGATAAAAGGCATTTTTAATTCTAGTTTGGTGCTGTAGGAACCCATCTCACAACTTCTCAGGCACAGCAGTTGGTAATCCTAAAAATGAGAGGGTGGCTGAGGATCTCTCAACACTGAGATGTTGCCCCAACACAGGAGGGCTCCAGAAATGAATCCTGAAAGAGTAAGCCTGGGTGTTCCCTTGGGAGCAGCCGCAGGTACATCCTCCATCGGTAAGGTGAGGTAGATATTCTAGACAATTCATTTCCCTCATCTTCCCACTTGGAGAAAATGGGGCAAGTCTTTGACCAAATCATCATCCAGGTCAGTCACAAATTCTTTGTAGATCAGTTAGGAATAACCTGAAATTAAAACATGTACGGTGATCCAGCATGGTGATCCAGTACCCACTGAGGATATCAAGATGTGGCCATAGCCGATTAAAGTTCCTCCTTCTTGTGTAGCTCATTTACTGATTCAAAATGGAATGCTACAAAAAGAATTGTATTTTTTTAAATTTGGGTGAACAGCAGTGATATGACAATGCCATATACAGTCTCTCGAGGTGACTACTTTGAAAGGAAGAGCTCTGTATAAATACCAGGAAGTATATTTTTAATGTATATTTCTTTATTTTAATGTCTTATGTTGCTTTATATTTTTAAAATCTATGTATTGCTTTATATTTGTGCATATGTATTTTAAAAGTGACCATCTGTGGATTTTACAGAACATTTGGTATACCCGCTCTCAAACACCAGACGGTGAGCAAGCACTCACCATATTCCCCAGCGGACTACCTGAGCTACGCAGCGGCAACCCAGATCATTAACCACAAGAACACTTTTGAGAATGTTGCTCTCAAATGATGTTATGAGGATCTTTGAAAATGACTTAAAAACTCATTTCAAATTCCTACCACATTTCGTCAGATTAAAAAAAAAAAAAGCGTATGTTTCTCACCCTCTATATAAAGTCTAGCTCCTTACTATCCCATGTCTAAGGCTCAGGTAAGACAAGTTTCTGGAACAAACACCCTGGACTCCTCCAAGATGCTCTGAGAGTATGCCTGTGGCTTAAGAACAACGACCACTTGTTCCAGGTTCCCCGACTCATTTCCTTTAGCTCAACGCCCCGTAAGCTCTAGGTAAACACTAACCTGTGCAGCCCCTGAACCCTTCTTTAAAGGCTGGTTACATAGGAAAGAGCAAAGCAGGTGAAGGTAGCCCTGTGCTTGTCTTCCCTAACTCTTTAGTTTCTGGGAACAGAACCTGAGCTCGTCTTTTACACAGACCTTACACTGGCTAGCTCCAACATGCCATGAATATTTTGCAGTGATTATTTCTCTGATTATTATTACTCATCTTGACAGGAAAAAAGGTACAAAATTCTACTTTCATATAGAACAAAAGTATTGTAAATTCTGATTTAACAAACATTTTAAATTGAAGTATGCCAATGCCTCAAATTATCTTACTGTGCATATTACTGCAGCAATCCTGCCAAAGCACAAGGGACCAACTTTTTATTAAAAGGCATAATCATGAGTAATTAAGAATGTTTTAATTATGATGATTGCACGCTGGAATAAGCTACATTAACCCAGCTGATAGTAAACCTACTACATATTCAGGGTACACAGAATTTTCTCATTGTATCGCGTGATAGTACTATAGGACATAAAAGATACACATCATCCGCTTGTGCTCAATAATTACTGTTAGATTGCCTGGTTCTGGAATCCAGTAATGAATGCGGTAATTATAGGTAGAATTTTTTTTATTAAAAAAGTACTTAAATGATCCATGGGGATCCTCTCCTATTTTGAAAAAGTGGTTATCTCCCAAAGCTGGCTTGGTGGCAAAATAGAGAACACCATGTGAATGTAATGCCATTTATCCAAAAGCTAGCTAGAAAATAGTCCAAGAATCATTTTTTTTTAAATTGCATATCCTAATTAAATATTTTCTAAAGATACTTTACTGGAGGTCCTTGAGCTCCAACTTCTCCCAGTTCTCCCTGGTCACCTTCTTCACCCTTAAAAAATAAATAAATAAATAAACAGAAAAGCACACCAAATGCTATTCTAGCAAATGAACATAGAAATAAAGTCAGTAATTCAGATTGTTTTAAATTTATTCATACCCCCTGAATTATTCCACTTAAAGTATTAGGTCATCAGGAGTCATGACCCATTTTTGCACAGAAAAACATAGAAAAAATATGTCATGCTTTTTCTGATGACCCAATATTTTATATGGATAATACATCGTAATTGTAAGACATTCCAAAGAAACAGAAAAGTGCACAAAGTCATTCATGCATTCAACTAGCCAGTACCAGTAACAGTTTAGGTGCTATCCTCTCAAAGTTTTTCTAAAAGGAAGGATGAAGAGAGGGATAGAAAGAGTAAATATCTCATTCCTGTTCTAAGTGTACATGGCGTGGAGGTGTCTAGGGTAGGGGTAATTATTTGGTAAATGTGATCACACTCTGCAAACTTTTCTATCAGTTACTGTATTTTCAGTTGTAATCTTCATCATAGCTTTTGTCTGTAATATTTGTAACATACAATTTCGCAATGTGAATTAGCCTTTTTTTCATGGGCTATGACCTTCCATGTCACTCAAAGAAAAGCTTTTCTACACCAAAATTATGTGAATATTCATCTATTTTTTGTTCTAATTTTATAATTTCTTAGAAATACTTGATTAACAGTTATCTTTTGATATACATACAATGTCAGGTAGTGTTCTTTTCCTTTTTTCCTTATCATTGGTCACTTGCTCCAAAATCATTTATTGGTAATAGTAATAGATTCTCTAAACACAGGTTGGAAAATGCATCTTTTACACTTACTAACTTGTTAAATATACTTGACTCTAGGCCCTTTGTTTGACTGATAGGCTGTTATGATGTTGTCAACACTACACTCAACTATTGAAATTTCATACTTGCATAAATTAATCTCAGGTAGGGAGAATTCCCTTGCTTTGTCATTTATGTTTATCCCTATTTTTCAAATTTTCATAAATATTTACTCCTCCAGCCGGCTTTAGACTCATTAGACAAATCATCACAAAAATACTACTTGCTTTTTACTAGGGCTACATTAAATTAATAGACTAATATGATAAGATTTAGAATCATTACATGATTTACTTTCTATCTAGAACTCAGCGTATCTCCCTATTTAATCCAATCTCTTTTCTTTTGCATTTCAGCAATAAATTATATTTCCTTAATATTAGTCTTGAAAACTTCCTAATTTTGTTCCAAGGTATTTTTACCATTTTGTTTGCTAGTGGCAATGGGATCTTCTTTCATTATACCTTTTAGCTATTTATTGTTTTGACATTTTGGTATTAATTTTATAACCTTTGATATACTTTAAAATATCAGAATATTCCAGGGTCGGGCAGGTGCTGTGGTAGTTGGGGCTCTGGATTCGCACATGGTTGACTGTGGTTCAAGTTCTGGACCTGGAGGCTTCCTTCTCTCTCTCTCTCTCTCTCTTCTGGTTAAATTGAATAATAATAATAATAATAATGAAACAAATAGTTCTTTAATTTTTTTTGTTTTTTTTTCCCCCTAGGGAACAATTTCTGTCTTTTATTATTTTGTATTATTTCTGTCTTTTATTACTTTTTATTATTATTTCCTGGCATTTATTTTTTAATTATTTATTTTTAATTTTTATTCACTCATTTTTCTTTTTAAATTTGACCAGAAAGAGAGAGAGAGGGGGAAAAGTGAGAAAGCAAGCACCAGATCCAGGACTTGAACCATGCTTGGTCATGTGGGAGCGTCTGATGCCTTAACCACCATGCTACCCACTGGTCCCCTTTCCTGGTATTTCAGCCTTGAGACTTGTGAAATCAGAGTGGCAGGTGCCACTGTGGACAAAACCTGGGGCAGTCCTGTGAAAAAAAATTTTTACCTTTATTATTATTATTATTATTTATACACTCAATCACTATACATCATTTAAATTTTAAAGAGATTTTGCCCAGTTTGATATATACTTCAGTCCTTTTAAAGGCTAGAATGTTCCAAAAGAAGTCTGCCTCTGTTTCTTGCAGAATGATTACATTATGAACTCTAAAAAAAGTTACTTTCTCTCTAACAAAGGCTTTTACTTTTCTATAATAGATACATTGCACTAATGTTTTCTTTGGTATTACATACTTAAATTGTGATGTTTATAATGAAAAATATTCTTTATTTTAAAATAAATATTTACAAAATTCACATGAAAATCCATTTCTATTGTATGTTACATGTTTCAATTTAACTATATTCTTGTTCCACAGACTTTTTCTTATATTTAGAGATTTTTTACAAGTGAGAAAAGAAATACAGAAAATTTAAGAGCAATATTAATATAGAACATTTCAGCATATTATGCAAAAAACTAGGTTATGCCTAAATCATTTGTACTTGATTTTTAAAGGAATTATGAGAGTCTTACATATTAGTTTTGGTCTGATAATTATATTGATTACACTTCATTAGAATCAGTGATTGACAGTGGGAAGAGGTAGTCCCAGAATCAGTGATTGACAGTGGGAAGAGGTAGTCCCAGGAGGAAAGTCAGTGAATTAGCTAACTCATTAAGTGGATAATCATCACCTGTGTATAATTAAGTGCTACTTGCATTTTTCCACAAAACTATAAAATTTATTACAAAAATGACCATAACTGATATGTCCAATAGAATTTTTCAGTCATGAGGCCTGCAGTATTTCTTCCTAAATTCTCCATAAACCTTGAAGTACTATATTTGAATAAAATATTTCACCTGCAGGTGAAAACTACACAAATGTTCAATAACCACAAAACTAAATGACAAATTTAGGAGTAGCAATTAATGCTCATTTTACTAAGAGATTTTAGAATGAATGCCAATCTGCTTTCTGATGTTGCCAATACCACATTTTAACGATTCAAGTTCCATTATTCATTCCCGTATTCACAATTTTTATATCTTCATTAACTCATTCACAAAGTAAATTGAAGATAAAATTGTGAATCCAAGTGCAAACTTCAGGCCTCCAGGCTCTTCTTCATCATTCTGCTCTAAATTTGGTCCATCTGTTAACCTTTCAAGGTTCATTCTTCGATGAGCTATTATTCTATCTTTTTTCAATGTTAATTTTTTTAAATTATTTTTATTTAATTTTATTTATTCATTCATTTGTTTTTAATTTAACAAGAGATAGACACAGAGAGAGAAAGAGGGAAAGTGAGAAACCAAGCCGCCAGGTCAGGGACTCAAACCATGGTTGGCCATGTGGGAGTTTCCAGTGCCTTAACCACCAAGTCACCTGCTGGTCCCCTCAATGTTAGTTTTTTATATATTAATTTTCAAGGACTCCACAAAAATGTGAAATCATTTTCTAAAATTTCAACAAGTTCTGATGAAGTTTTTTGACCAAGTTTGTGTCTGTGCTGGCTGCAAGCCTGGGGGAATGATCACACGGCAAAGACCCCAAAAAGGGTCTTTCTCTTTTGAAGGAAATAAACTTTTTAAATGAGTGTCCAAACTATAAAAGATACAAGAAATTGGCCTGTTTATCTTGGTTAGTTGATATTTATTCAACAGGCTGATTTTAATGAGAGAATTCAAGGACAGCAATGCCTGAAGACATTAATAAATTGTCTCTCCAGCTCTTGACTTTTTTTTTTTTTTTTTTTGAGAGAGGTTTTTGCTATAGGATGTGTGTGCTTGCCAGAAAGACATAGAGACAGAAAGCAAGAAATCACCCTCTGGGGGGATGGCCAGGCCACAATCCTTTCTCCTCCATTCTCCTCTCGGGACCTTGGGCATGGCCACACACACCCCCAGCATGAGTTCAAGCCACTGGGTCCGGGACTCGAACCATGGTCAACTACATGGGAGTCCAGCGACATAGCCATTATGCCAATTGCTGGTCCCTCCAGCTCTTGACTTCTAAAGAAAAAGGCTAATCTCTGCCACTCCCCAATAAAGGTATGGAAGGATATGGTCCACAAAGGCCCGAGGACCTGCACTAATAACAAACGTTTGCCTTTGTGAAATATAAAATTTACAGAGACCAAACTTGCACAGTCCAAGAAGTCAAATTCTCATCTCTTCTTGAGTAGACACGTAAAGATGATTTACCCTAGTGGATGAAAAAAAGGGCAAAAAGCTTATCTTGCTTTAAATTTTAGCCTTGTTTCTCTACAGGCCGGCCAGCCCCCATGGAAGTTGGGCTGTACATTCCATATTGCTATCTAGATAATAAGTTACCGCTAGCTTCTAGCTTACCCAAAATCTAGGTTATATTGAAATGAAGTCAGAAATAAATAATTTCACAACTCGAGATAAGACACTCTAAGCCAATTACTAACTTCTCTGTTTGCTAGTCTCAGCAGCACTTGTCATAAAATTGTACCTCATTGTAAAATTTTGTTTGCGGGGGTGGAACAACTAGCTGAATAATATTTAACTATCACACGCATCAAAGAAAACGGCTGACTGCGATGGTGGGGGACAAACAGCCGCACAAGAAAGAAGAAAAACGTATGAATGCACAATGCCTCCTTTTTTGTAATTGAACGACGTTAGAATACTATGCTTAGTCTGAAAGTTGATGTATCTACTGAAAATTTGTCAATCATGATTTGGAAAAGAAGAGGAAAATAACATGTTTTTTATTCCTTGTAATGAATGTGATCTCTACCTCCTAACCATCATTTACCTAATAAATTCTTATTTCCTTACCTTGTGTCCTTGTCTTCCTGGTTCACCAATTTCTCCTTTAGCCCCTTTATGACCCTAAAAAATAATGCAAAAATAAATACATACATAAATAAATAAAAAATTGTATTGAATTTCACATAGAAATTGCTCAGAAGGCTCTTAAAGTGATCCTGCCTCCCAAACCCTGTGTCCATGTGCTACTAGAAAAAGGTTATGTCACAAAGAAAATTACTGCCTTAAATAACTTTCAGAGCACCATATTAATTTTGGGACTATTGTATACAACAAATATCAGTTTTAGTTCATGGGAAAACACTGTCCTAGAACAAACGCGCCATTGCCTAGCTCAGCAACGTGGTTCATTGTTGCTTGGCTACTGTCTCCTAGCTTCCTGTCTCCCCCAACTTCCTCCCACCGTAAAATTAAGAGCATTGAATCTCTTCTTTAGCACCCATAATTTAACTTTCCAGAAGTGACAGCCCTGGCCCAGCTCAACCAGACATCCTCTGCCCTCTATGGGCTACTCAGAAACCCTTCTGCCTCCCACAGCCACCCCTTCCTGGAGGCGGAGGTAGGGCTGATGCAAGTACTACACCTCCCCAGATGCACAGCTTGCTGCCCCTTCCTGTAAACAATTTCAAGTGCAAAAGGAAAAAATAGAGGGCAGTGAGTAAAGGCTGCATGGCATGAGGAGAGCCCTGTCTGTTCCCCTCAGGCCAGCGGATCTAAGCATCTGTGTGCTCTGGGCAGTAACCTGAGGCACACTGTGAAGTAAACATTCCAAAATTAAGTCTCTCTGAATTTTCATCCTTCAAAAGTCTTTTTGAAAAATGACAAAAATCCAGGTCAAAACTACTCTTAGAGAAAACCTTGATTGGAAAACCAAAGCCTTAGGATCTCTCTCTCCCTCTCTGTTTTTAAAATGCCAGAGAGAACACGAGCTCACCAGAGAGAGACAGAGGGCTGGGGAGAGGGAGAAAGCACCCTCCAGTGGGGTGTGGTCATGCCTCACCCCCTTCCCATCCACTTTTCCATTCTGTCAGGCTTTTGGGCACCCACGCACACACATGCACACACGCACACACACGCACACACGCACACATGCGCACATGCCCAGTGTGTTTTTCAAGCTGCCAGAGCAGGGATTTGAATCATGGTCTGCCATGTAGTATCTGGCTCCCTAAATCACAAGGCTATGGAGCCATCCCAGGGGGACTTTGCAGTAGTAGCGGAACTTCATTGGTCTGAAATTTCTCAAAATCACTTCAGACTCAGAGACTAGAGAAAGAAAGTCATTTATATCAAGCATTTGATATTTATTTTTTGCTTTTTATGGAAAATTTTAAAGTAATCATGGCAGAGTGAGAGTGAAAACACTTTTGGAAAGATGAGTCTCCTGCCTATTTTGTAGTTGTGCCCATTCTTTTTAATTGAAATAGTTTCAAATACATTATGTATACAATCTCCACACACCACACACACACACACACACACACACACACATACCACCACCACCACCACCACCACATTTCTCCTGCCATGCAAGGCAAACTACTGAACCTTGGTTTGGTGACCTAAATCTCTCCTCCCAATGTGTTGTATTGGTATGCCTTCCTGGAACTACGGAAGTGCTGTATAACTAAGCCTTTGTGTCTTGCTAGGAGCACTTGCCAGGAGCACCAACTGGAATTTCCCGAACTGTATAAGCACCACAGAAAAGCCATACAGTGAGCAGACTCAGCCTTGCCTAAAACATCAAAGTGAAGTCTCTGGACCAGGATGGCTGGTGCTTGAAGACTCCAGTTTTTTTCTGCAGATAATAATCTTAAAGATAAATACTAAAGTTAAGCTCTTACCCTCATGCCTGGTAGACCTGGGTATCCTGAGCGACCAGGTGGACAGGAATTGGGACACTGCCAGAGAACGAGAGGGAGGGGAAAATGAGAGAGAGGGCATGACCAGAGTGCCCGCTTCCTGTTTCCAGCTACAGAGCCCCCATAAAATGTCCTTTATTAAATAACTCTGAATGCACTTTTCCTTCTATTCATTATTTGATTTGTGACCTCAGAAATTTTTCTAGCTTGAGAAAAGTATAGAGAATATAACAAATACCTTTCCATCCATCCATGACCCAGTTTAATAAATGTTAATATTTGGCCATATTTATTTCACATCTGATTCCGAGCTAATTCATTCAAGAGCCAAAATGTTTACAGACAACCTATTATGCCGTGAAGAGGGCAGGAGCTGGGGCAATCCCCTGGCAGGAGCGGTGCTACACGGTAGAGCCAGGGCACTTGGGAGCCTACAGTGCCAGCACCGCACCCAGTGCCCGGGGCTGCCCATCCTGGGTCCGGAGGAGTAGTGGGATAAGACTACCTCCATTTCTTCTCTTGCCTCCTCTGAACAGTCCTATACTGAAGTCATAGCTCTCCCTCAAATGGGCCAAAATTACACACAGTACAGTTTAACCACAGTCTTCCTCCAACCAGTTCATAGTAAAACAAGGCTTAGAGGGAGCTACTGGTCTTCTGTCTCCAAAAATTGGGATGCTCTAGTGAAAAGCATGACTTAGTCATAAAGTAAGAAGATTACAAAATAACAAAGTAAAACTGTTACAGCCCGAGTGTATACAAGTCAGTGGTCCACCAGTGCTATAGATGGCTCTGCTGTCTGACTAAAGTCAAACCTCGAAATGGTGTATTCCAGAGAGGGCATTTTAAAGAAAGCCCATCTGAAGACAAGACGGTCTTTGGATTAAAGCTAGTATTTTTTTCAAAGAAAAACATCTTACCAGTGGATCACCATCATGAAAGCCAATTGTTCCCTAAAGTAAATACATACTAAAGTCAAGCATATAATTAAACAATTCATCCAAATCTAAAACTATCAAAAGTTCACTGGGCAAAATATAATAAATATATTTGTTTAATAAAATATAAGGCCTGGCATAGCAGTATATAACATACTAATTTAATAAAAACATGGCTCATGGCCATATTCCCTTTGGAGAACAATAAACTGCAGATGATTTCTTTCAGGGAATTAAAAGAATAAAATGAGGGGCAGAATAGACTAAATGGAGAACTCTGAAATTTTAAATTAAAAATACGGATTTTAGGGGCCAGCAGGTGACACGGTGGTTAAGGTGCTGGATTCCCATATTTTCACAGTTCAAGTCCTATACATGGCGGATTAAAAAAGCACACCAGGCACGTGTGCATGTGTGCCCAAAATCCCAGGAGGAAAATAGAGGAGAAGTGATTGCAACGTGGCCATCTCCCTGCGGGGACAGAGATTTCTCACTTCCCATGTCTCACTCTGTCTCTCTCTCCAGTGAACACATGCACTCTGGCAAAAACCTAAAAAACAAACAAACAAACAAACAAACAAAAACTTACTGAGTAAATCTTTCAAAATCAGCTCGTTTGGAGAGTGTTACATTTATAAGGTGAAATTTTAATCTTTTGAGAAATTACATGTGTCAAAGGACTTCAAATGTAACAAGACTTGCACTTGAAAAACCGCCTTTTAAATTATTTGTAATTCCTCTACTTTTCTAGCCTGAAAAGAACCGTCCTTTGAGTGAGTGAAAAAATTGGCAGCCGTTTTAGAAGTTTAGAACAGTAATTCAATTAATGGGCACCTTCATTTCTGGTCCTTCCTTTCAATCCAGACTCTCAGATGAAAGATATTCACGCTGCAAATAACTTACACTGGGTCCTGGGGGGCCTGGGGGGCCAGGTGGTCCTCTTTTTCCAGGGTCACCCTGTTATTTGAAAATTGTGACACAGTGGTTATACATGTGTCAAAACATGGTACATAAAATTGGCGAGGCATCGGAGAATGGAATTGCTAGAAACCCCTACAGAGCTCAGACAGGCATAGATCTGCCACCAGAACTGATGGGTGGCTCACAATCTCATTAGTTCTACAATACCAGAACAACCAAGGAGTTCCAGCCTTACCAAGAGAATAAAACAAAACAAAGCAGAGGGTCTCCCTCTCCCTTTCCCGGGGAAAAAAGCAAAGCCAATTCTCCTCTATAGGATCATCCCTTTATCCACTCTGAAAACAAGCTGGAAATGCTATGTATGTTTCTAGTTGATTTACAAAGGAACCAGGGCTGCCAATACTGGTAGCGCCATGCTGCAAATAGGGCTAAGGAGGCATGCATGCCATCTGAGCTGTGAAAGGGAAGTTCAGCTCTGTGGGGCCTGGCTCTTGCGGGTGTCGTTTGCCTGCAGATCTATCACTTGGTCTATCCCTGTATTCGCTTGCAATGGGACAGAAAATCAAAGATAGCTAAATTCACATAGGCCATTTAGATGAAGAGTGTCCAATTACTCTTAACATCCAATGTTCACTTCTGGAATGTTTTCCTTCTCAATGTCCCTACCATAAACCATCTTGTGATTATTTTAACTTTATAATACTTTCATATTCATTTGTCCTGTAAATTAATTGCAAATGGCACATGCAGAGAAACAAGAAGGATGTATAATATGTGGCTCCTTTGCTGAATGAGTTTACCATTACCTACATTCATATGACATCACTATTTCAACAACGTTTACTGAATATTAACACGAAGCACTTTTTATAAGCAATTTGTTCTATGGAGTTCAGCTTTTTATTGTCTAAAGATCCATGTGTTCAATTATAATTTAATGATCCTAACATAAATATATATGGTAATCATTTTAGGTTATTCACTTTTTTATTTCATGCAGAGAGTCAAATACAAAAGCCACTCGACTCCCAATGCTGGCTGAGAGTCTGTAAAATGAGGGTGACACTCCCCACTTGACATTCAATCTGGAAGTTGGGAAGAGTTTAGCTGAAAACTCTAAGGAAAGAAGTTAAAATCACTCCACAAAAATTAGGTAACATTATTATCCCTAGTCCCCATAAATATTATGAACTAGAACAAAATGCATCTGTCACTTCTGGATGTACAAGGGGAAAATGTACAGTTAGGGTATTTTGCCTTCCCTGGGAACACCTTCTACTAAATCAGCAAACATCTAGGAAAATGCATGTGATACTCACAATAGGTCCTACACGGCCAAGCTCTCCAGGGAGTCCTGGTGTCCCAGGAGGACCCTGAAGTCAACAAATCAAAGTGACATGGTGATTTATGGGTATTTTTATAGTCAATCATAAATGAAAAATCAATTGTGATCAAGAACAGGCTAGAATTATATATCTGCTGGCTTTGGCTTCTAATGAGACAATAACTCATTAGATCAAACTTTCATTGTCTTTGATGGAACAGAAATTCCCTAAATTAGTAAGTATTTTGCTTAGCAGAGTAGAAGCATTGTTGTCAGTAGCCTCCTAAGACCATGTAGGTAAGACATTATAAACACCACTGAGTAGAGTGTTAGTTGGAAAGTAAGCTTAGGATTTGAGAAATAAGCCATTTTTACAGACTATGTAAAAATAAATGATGAAATGATACTTACAGGAGGTCCAGGAATACCACGGCCCTAGAAGATTAAAAGTAAAATGTTTGTGACATGTGTTTGTATTTAATATAAATATGGACACAGACATAAGTCAGTTCTAAAATAAATCATAAGTTCTATCACTAAGGAAATGTATGATGTTCATTCTAAAGAAAATATGGAAATGAAAACAAGGCTCTACCTCTACAGAAAGTAGAAGCTTATTCAGCTCTTCAAACATTCTCTTGATGTCTATGTTAACCAGTAATACTTTTCCAAACTGTTTTTAAAAAATCAAAGAAGTTGTTCTCCCTTGTCTTCTGAAGAACTTACCATCACTTACAAAGAAGCAGGTCACAACCGGCCAGTTTAAAGAGTATATTCATTTGTACTGTCATATGTGAAACCTACATGAAAGTCAATATAGTTTTACAATTTATAAGAAATGTTGTTTGGAAGTTTCCCCTATAAACAGCACAGAAAAGTAATAGGAAAAAGGATTAAAACACACCTCCCTTTTGACAGGTAGAGCTATATTTCCAAACAGCAGATCCAGGAGATATTAAAAATAAGGTAGTGTCATTCGTGGAGTAACCTACTACAAGATCTTAATTTAATTAACTGAATTTTTTATCTTAATGCTAGTCATTCTAGCTCCCTCTCCTTTACACGTTATAGCTCTTCAGAAGCACCAATCCGCATATAGTCAAGGATTGAAACCCAATCTCACTCATCCGCCTAACTCCAATTCCTAACCTAGCGCCTCATACAATAAACTCTAACGACATGCTTGTTGAATTTAAAACTGAATGCTCTGCCTTGCGTCCCTAACCTCTATGCTTCCCAAGCCCAATTTCCCCCCATGGGATTTCTCATTATTTTTTCTAGACTGACATGAATAGCTTTTATTCACAGCGGTCTGTGATACCATATTAATGTTCGCTTTTCATTCCAGACTTGCTTTTCTAAAATATCGATATATAAAGTATCTGTGAAATCAATGCATGGCCTCTGATAATGATATTATTCTTAATTACTTTAGGCAACCAAAATAAGCAAGAACTGCACACAGGCAGTAAACTTTAATTACATTCTCTCATTCCCATTTGTTGGCAAGGCACTTGTTGAAAAATTACTACTATTAACTACTAAATTACAACACAGATCAATTTGGGAAATAGGTGTTATGCTTTGAAATACAAAAAATAATCAATAAGTATTTTGTTTTCAGTGACCTAGACATTGGACAAATTTCACTGCATTTTAAAGAGAAAGCATCTCTATAAAATGTTGAGATCTGAGCTTAAAAATATGGGAGAAAGGCCAACAGGCCATTCGCTTCTGAAAATAGACTTATAATGGAAAAGTTGACAGATGCTGAAATATGACAAAGAAAACAGTGCAAGTAAGAAAAAAATAAGGAAAAATACAGGTTAATGACAAGAGCAAAGAGGAACAAAGAGCAAAATAGAAAAAGATAATAACAGTATGAGACCCTATTCCTCTTACACACAAATAACACAGAGCTGCCAGATGGTGCAGTGTAGGAAAAGTCAAGCCAGGAAATCAGTCAGGGGGCACTATCTGATCAGCTGATATTTCTTTTGAGATAAACCAGTTATAAAGAAAGCAGTGTGATGCCATAGCCTCGACATTAAATACACAGATCTGTTGTTGCTATGTAGGAAATGTTTTCGATCACTGGGGGGAGAGAGGGGGGCTGGCCATTGGGAAACACTACCTGCAAATAGATGTATATTTTATATTATCCATTCAAAATTCTCTAAAAGTTTTCTATTTATGATAGAAACGCTTACCATAACAGAAAAGCCATAAACTCCTTTGTCATATATATTACATAGAAAAGTGCATTTTAAAATTGCACAATGATAGAATTTTACCTAAAGATGGGAGTTGTTTAAATTCTGTTGCTTTATATTTACTTACTGGAAATCCACGAGATCCAGGCACACCAGGTTCGCCCTAAAAATAAAAATAGCTTCATTGTATTAAGCTTTATGAATCATGAATATATAAATATGTAAATTACATAAATACTGGAAACATCAAAACACTCTATTTCTGTGTTTTCAAACATGATTTTAGTTGAACAAGAATACTGGATGCTTCATAACCTAATCTGTTCATTGATTTACAGCACTACAAGGAAGTTGTACTTCAAGATGTAACTAATACCAGGTGGTTAACTTACTTTCTGTCCCCTTGGTCCAACAGAGCCAGGGGATCCATCAGGTCCTGGTAAGCCCTAACGAAGCAAGATAATGATGTTATCACTACCATAACATCCTTAGGCAAACCATGAGGTAGAAATAAAATCACTTTATTTATTAATTATCTGCAGAATGATTATATACATATGACACAAACGTTTATAAAGAAATAAATTGCTATATTCTTACTCAGTGGTAAATGTTTAACATGAGATCTGTCTGCTAGTTATTTTCTGCTGATAAATTATAGTATATTTCTAACTTCTCACTAACTGCAGTGTTTATTACAGGGTTCAATAATTTAGTGGGGTTTTTTTGGTCTCTATTTTGAAAAAATGCAATATGCAACTGCCATGTTCTAACAGCTAAGTCTCATAAGTCTTGGCTGTGCCATTTACCCAGGTTTATGAACCTCTTTACTATAAAATACAAATACCCTGCAACTCTCTAACTACAAAACAACAATGTCTTGAAGATTTATGAAATATTTCCTTAATAAGAATTAAACACAAATCATTTCATTCTTGCCTTAGAGCCATTTCAAGTCCTCGAGCCACCTTCTAGTAATGAAAATTGCCTGCTAAAGAACAGGAATGCTTGAAGTTGCAACATTTGAGAGAACACGCTTCTAAACTACCTTCCTTAGTAAGGATAGCTGTAATTAATCCGTTCACGTACGCTACTTGGTATGTAGAAGTTAAGCCTATTATTATGAACACATTTATAACCATAATATTTAATACTAAAGCAGTTACTAAATGCATCCTCTAAACATTTCCACTCTCCCTACTAGTATTTATTTTATTGTCATCCTCAAAATAAAAAATATATAAAAACACGAAAATACTACATGTGCCTTTGAAATTCCATATTTGGTGAGGATGTGTTTTTTATCTTTTCTTTGTTCTACAACTTTTATTTTTGGCTAGACGGCATATATGACTCACCAGAGAGAGACAGAAAGAGGGAAAGGGCAAAAAGCACCCTCCAAAGGGGCATAATCATGCCGCAATCACTTCTCCTCCATTTCCCCAGTTTTCAGGATTTTTAGTATGCACACACATGCACCCAAGGTGTTTACCAAGCCATAGGGGTCAAAATTTGAACCCTGGTTGGCCATGTGGACTCTGGCTTCCTTAACCATTAGGCCACAGGGCCAGTCTGTTGTTTGACAGTCTCACATGTTGTCATTTACAATATAATCTTAGAATTATACCTCCCTAAAGATAAACATGTATATATGTATATGTGAGTGTCCATATATGGACATACATGCATACACACACACACACACACACGTACATATGTAAGTATCTTACAAAACCTATTTTTTAATCAAGATTTTTTTGCTATAGTGCACATACACACACCAGAGAGAAAGAAAGAAATCATCCCCTGGTGGGGAAGCCCCCCCTTATAATCTCTAATCCTCCATTTCCTCTTGGGATTTTGGGCATATATGCACACAGGATGTTTTTCAAGCCACCAGATCCAGGACTCAAACTGCACAGTCGGTCATGTGGGATCCGGTGCCTTAACCGCCATGCCACCTGCCTGGCCCTCTTATCAAGAGTTTGAAAAAGGGAACCAGCAGTTGGCGTAATGGCTATGTCGTATCAAGAGTTTGAAAAAGACTAAACCAATGATAATTGGGGGAAAGATCTCTTGAAAATATAAAGGCTCTACCTAAAAATAGATCACTAAAATTCATATTTAGTTTGTTGTGGTCTGCAAAAGTATCAATAAAACATTAATATATTTATGTAACTTATAGAAAATTACTTCACTGACCACCTCTTTTACATTTCTCTTTATCAATTAATTTCTCTAACAACTCCATAGAGTGAAAACAAAGGAAGTAGAAAAAAATTCATTGAGAATGTTAATTACTGGAAATTTACCAAAGAAGAAGAAAAAGAGCAAATATATTCAAAAGAGTTTCTGACAGTCTGCCTTTGATTTTCAGTCGCCATAGTCTAATTACAACATTGTCATTTGGGAGCAAGCCCCAACATGATTAGTTGCCGAGCACCTGTATTAATGGAATGTTTGCTCTCGTATTTCAGCAAACAAACCATACATCAAGGAGCACTCTCTGGAAGCACATATGGCACATAAATTTTGTAAACCTCGGGGCATATTTGACTAATGGATCCTCTAACTCTCACTCAATGCAAATGCCCTCCGACAGCAATCCTGATCAATTTCCATACACACAATCAACTACTCTCCTTCAATCTGTGACTGGAATAACTGACAAGACTGGAGGACAGGAAGTACCACATATGGTAGAATTTCAGCTGCAGTATAATAAAGGAGAACCAAGTACATGACTGGATACCTTGAAGACTATTTCCAGGTCAGTCCATATTTAAAATATCCTTCATAAGACATGATAAGTTTTATCTTTTATCCAGAAGTTCTTTGAACTACATTGAAAATAAATCTTGATGTCAGATGTTAAGTGAACTCTGTAATAAATAACTATATAGAAAATTAAAGCCTTCCTGTGATGTGGTAGTTGAGTTGACTGGACCCCACAGAGTCAACTGGGCAGCTTTAAAGACACACCAGGTGCATGTGTGTGCATGCCCAAATTCCCAAGAGAAGAATGGAGGGGAAGGAGTTGCAGTGTAGCCATTTTCCCCTTTCTCTCTCTTCCTCTCTCTGTCTCTCTCCAGCGAGTGCATGTGCTTATAGCAAAACTTAAAAAGAAAGAAAGAGGATCAGCAGGTGGCATCATGGTTAAGAGGCTGGATTCCCACATGGCTGATGGCAGTTTGAGTCCCACACCTGGCATCATCCTTTCTCACTTTCCCTCTCTCACTGTCTCTCACTCTCTGGTGAGGGTATGTTCTCTATAGCAAATTTTAAAATAATACTAAAAATAAAATTAAATAAAAATTATTTTTAAAAAAGGAGGAAAAATGTAAGTCTTATGATGACAAGGACGACATATCAAGTTGCCCCTGGCAACAATACATGATTATGGAATATAATTAATTTAAAAATTACCATGCATCTCACTAACCACACAAATTAATAAATAAACAAAATTAATTTAGGTTAGTCTTTTAAGTGGAAGAATATTTCATTTGTCCTCCCACATCATCTTAATTTTTAGTTCAAATCCTCATTTTGCCACTTCGTAGCTAAGCAACCATGGTCAAGTTGCTCAACTATATCGTTCCACAGTTTCCTAATCTGTAAAATATTAATAAGTATAACATTAATATATTCCCTACATGTTCATTTTGAAGATTTAATGGATTATTATCCAAAAAGTGTTTACGAAAGTGTCTAGCAGAGTGATCTTTGAATGAATGTTAACTGCTCCTATTATAATCATTATTATATGGTCAGCGCTGTTCTAGATGCAGTGAATCTCATTCAGAAAGAGTCCCACAAATAAGTAAGCAAAAACTCTAGATATTAACCACAGTAGTCTTCATGGCCTCTTCAGATTTCCTCAATGCCTATTTCCATTTACACTCACTTTTCATAATCATGTCTTAATAACTCACTATCTTAGTTATGTAACACCTGCTAAGGGTAATAGCTATACACCCAGAGGTTATAAAACACCTAACTTCTTGCCTATAAAAACTAGTCAAGTTCAACTATAATTCCTACGTTCAATTATAACTCCCCTTCTACTTGTTTCAAATCGATGCTATAAGGACTAATAAAATACTGTCTTACAGAGCTCTCTGAGCCTGTTACATCAAATAGCACCTGTAAGAATATCTCTGTTGAAATTATTGATGATAACACAGTTGGTCTTTGAGTACAAATTTATAACCAAGTTCTGACTCTTCTCGTTTATATGTCTATAAGGGGAAAGGAGAAACAACTTAAATTTTAAAATGAGAAAAAGAGATTTAAAACATATGTGCACACAAACACATGTGCGAGCGCCCACACACACACACACACATGCTCAATTGTCAAAATCCAATTTGCAATAAAACTTTCTAAACCTTTTTTCAAAGAAATGACAGAGAAAAACATTGCCAGGGCATACAGAATTGCCTTCATATGAATTGTGATGTGGACAAAGTTCTTTAAGAATGATATTGAAGTGGGGAACCAGCAGTTAGTGTAATGGCTATGTCACTGGACTCCCACGTAGTCAACCGCGGTTTGCGTCCCGGACCTGGTGGCTTAAAACTCACACCGGGCACATGTGCGTGCGAGCCCAAGATCCCGAGAGGAGAATGGAGGAGAAGGGATTGCGGCGTGACCATTCCCCCTGGGGGGTGATTTCTCGCTTTCTGTCTCTATGTCTCTCTCTGTCTGTCTGGCGAGCACACGCGCCCTATAGTGAAAACCTCTCAAAAAAAAAAAGAATGATATTGAAGTGACTGTGTCCTGAACTTCCACACTGCCCTTGGAGAAAACACCAGTCTTCAACGGTGGCTTCCTTCCAGAACTCCAGCAGGTCAGCTGCTGGCACTCAAGGCAAACTTCTACAAACAGCTGCTATGACTCTTTCACCTTTTCTGTCAAAAATCCAGTCAACAGAGGATAATATACCTTGAACTGTGTTCCTTTCAGATTCTTCCAAGCATCATCCAATTAACCTTTTTTTCCCCAATTAACTATTTTTTAACATTACCCAAGAAAATAACCTTTGCAATGAACCAAAGAGCAGAAGATGGAGATCAGAGGTTTAAGGTCCTACCACTACTCAGATTCACCTACCAGGAAAGAACAAGTGAAGCTTTCTTCACTTGTTTAACTCCCCTATGGCCAGGACAAATAGACAGCAAATTCTGGCCTTTGACCAGCAAACTCTTTCGTTACTCTCAAAGATGCACCTTCTTAATTGTGAATAAAAATGATTTTTTTAAATGTCAAGTCAACAAAAGATTAGAATAAGGGAACTTTTTTAGTTCCAGAAGTCTTAAGAGGCTCTAATTCAAAAGTTGGAATATATGAAACACAAATATTTATAAATAATCATAGGATATCAATATAAATTATTTATATTTACCTACTGAATTACTCATTTCATTTTTCTTGGTTGACAACATCGGTACTAAACATTCACTGTCACTTTTGCATTCCAGTCTCTCCAAATACTTATCTATTAAGAACCTCATTTGCATCTGCATGAGGCAGAATTGTCTGGGGAATCTAAAATTCGAGAAATTTGATTTTTTTGCTATTTGATACGTTGAATAACACTGGGTTCCTGGGAAAAGCACTTGTCCTTGTAATTATTCATTTTCTTTATCTGTAGAAAATAACATCAGACTAATATATTTTCCAGGTTACTGTAAGGTTAAAGGACAGAGTATCTATGACAGTGCTTGAGGAGAAAGCTATACACAAAAGCAAATGCTGTGATTTTTCCCACAAGTCTAGAAAATACGTACAATATGTGCATATGCATGGGATTTTTTTTCCCTTTTTTCTCTCCTCTCTTTTGCTTTTGTTTTTGCTCTCCTCCAGTGACTCTGAAATATGCCCTCATAGGTTTCTCTCTGGGCATCTTCTGACGTCAAAGTTCAGTGATCTAGGACGAGCAGATAGTGTGATAGTTCTATGATCTAAAAAAAGTTCCTCCTTAACATCTTTTAGTATTTGAAATTCGGGAGACCAGCGGGTGGCATGGTGGTTAAGGCGCTCAACACTCCCTCGTGGCCAACCATGGTTCAAGTCCCAAACCTGGTGGCTTGCTTTCTCACTTTCCCCTTCTCTTTGTGTGTGTGTGTATGTGTCTAGTCAAATTAAAATAAATGAATTAAAAAATTTAAGAAGAAATATTTGAAATTTGATTTATTCTGCACATGGTACTGCAAATATAGACAAAAAATTATAGTTGACTCCTGAACAATTCCGGGGTTAGCTACAAACCCTCCAACCTCAAAGCTACCCCTCAGTCAAAAATCTACATATAACTTTGATTCCTCCAAAACTTAATGAGTAATATTCTACTGCTGAACAGAAGCCTTATAGCTAACATAAACAGTTGATTAACACATGTATGTTATTATGTATTACACTGTTTTCTTATAGTAAGCTAAAGAAAAGAAAATGTCATGAGGAAAATCATATGAAAAAGAAAATGCATGTACAGTACTATACTATATTTTCTAATTACTTATTTTTTTAAATTGTGTATAAATTGCTCCTCAAGGATCAAACCCATGTTATCCAAGAGTCAGCTGTAGTTTTAACGTTTTTTACATTATACTTTAACAACTTCAAAACACTTTTACTTGTTTATCCAAATTTTCTGTTAAAGCAAGGAAACTACAGAGACCAGCAGATGGCAAAGTGGTTAAGGAGCTCGATTCCCACATGGACAATTGTGTTTCAAATCCTGGGCCAGCAGCTTGAAAATCCTGCCAGGCACATGTGCATGAGCACTCAAAATCCCAAGAGGAGAATGGAGAAAAATAGATTGTGGCGGGGCCATATACCCTGGGGGGTGAATTGTCACTTTCCCTCTCTCTAGCTCTGTCTCTCTCTTAGGCACACTCGCCCTATAGCAAAAAAAAAAAAAAAAGGAAGAAACTATAAAGCAAATGTAGGAATTTTCTTTATTATATTATGATACAAAGTAAAAAAAGACTTTGTTGAAAAAACTATAAAAGCACTATTAAACTGAGAGACAGGTAAGTATAGCCTTCTACATGAAATTATATTGCAACTCAGTAGCCATACAAAACTTCAGATAGCCAGAATACGTTTCAACTACCAACAAATTTTAATTTAATCGGAAATTTTCTTTTGATCCCAAACAAACAGCTGGTTGAAGTTTCAAAGGAATATAGAAACAAATTAATCTGTATTAGCTTACTAATTTATTTAGCGACCTTTATTTTATCAGATTCTTTTATGATATAACAATTGCAAGTAATTAACAATGTTTTTAAAAAGAACTTGATAGCAAGTTATATAATTTCAGTCTATATTATCTAAATACTAGTCTTTGTGTGCCTCACATACTGTCACTTTTCATACCAACAAAGTCCAAACTGAGGGCTTTGAATTGTAGAACTAAACCTACCTCCTAAAGCATAAACTGGGATAAATAAATATCCTCGTTACGGTAATCCTGACAAAGAAAGCATCTCTCAATAAAATGAAAATCCAGTTACTTTTTCCTCTCAAAATTAAAGCTCTCTTAAACTTTAGTCAAAAATTCTTGGAAGTTATAATCATACCAATTTTCAGGTGTTTTGTAGCCAAGCTACAAGAAGGAACCAAAGTAACCCTGTATTTAACAGGCCATAACAGACTGCTCTTAAATGTTTCCCCTTTGAAAACTAGCCTTGCATTATTGTCTAATTTGTAGCAAAACACCTCATCATAGCTTTGCTGAATTTTCTCAGGAACTGGGCCTTGAGACTCCAGCTGGAGAGAAAATGTATCTAAGAAAACGAAGGACAGGGACATTTTGGCCTTAAGGGCGAGATGACCACAATCTCAGTGCCAAGCCTCTATGTGACCAGGAAAATGACCAGTTGCTCCACAGATGAGCATGCAGCCCTCTTTTCCCACCTCCTTTCCCATTGTCCTGTCTTTCCTTTAAAACCTCTGTTTCTAGAGACCAGCAGATGGTGTCATTGTTATGTCGCTGGGCTCCCACGTAGTCTACCGGGGTTCAAGTCCTAGACCCAGTGGCTTAAAACTCACGCCAGGAGCATGTGTGTGCATGCCCAAAATCCCAACAGGTGAATGGAAGAGAAGGGATTGCAGTGTGGCCATCCCCCCCCAGGGGGGGGCAGGGGGTGACTTCTAGTTTTCTGTCTCTCTGGCAAGTACATGCACCCTATAGCAAAAATTGCTCTATAAAAAAAAAAATTTAAATATAAAACCTCTTTTTCCAGCCCAAGACTTTGAAGATGGGTTTTGAAATTAGTTCACCACCTTTCCAAGTCACTAGTTTTCTGAATAAAACTGCTTTTCCTTTCTGCCAACACTGTTCTTTCAAATATTGGCCTTCCTGCAGCAGGCAGCCACACTTGGGTTGGGTCACTGGACAAGACCTGTAGTGATCTGGTTACACCTTCTTTTATTTAGGAAAATCTTTGGGCTTTGGAAAATGCATAATGTGGCAACTCGAAGTCTAACTTGAGGGATGCATCACCATTCTGGAAGAATAGATGCATTTCTTCCTTCCCCTCCCCCTTTTTTCTCTTTTGAGAAATTTTTGCTAGGGCATGTGTGTTCACTGGTGAGACAGAAAGTGAGAAATCACCCCCCAGGGGGATAGCCACACCACAATCCCTTCTCTTCTATTCTCCTGTTGGGATTTTGGGCATGCAAGCATATGTGCCTGATGTGAGTTTTAAGCCACTGGGTTCGGGGACTCAACCACAGTCAACTCTGTGGGAGTCCAAGCAGCATAACCATTATGCCATCTGCTGGTCCCAAGAACAGATGCATTTCTTACTTTGGGACAAAAATCAAGGGCTGGCCAGTAATGGGACCTCACTATTAGCAGAATGCTCTGAGAGAGGAGAAGCTGAAAGTCATTTTACTCTACATAAATATCCAGTCTTAGGTTTACCACCATATAACTGAGTGGAGAGGCAGGGAGGTGGAAGCAGGTCAGCCCGAGAGAGGCTGCTGGCTCCCAGCCTTCAAACAACCCTAGCCAGTTCCTTCTGTCTTCCATAGTGGCCAGAAAAACACTGCGGGG